ACGCCCACGACGAACCGGCCGCACGGAAGGCCCCGGCGCCGTGCCGGGCGGTGGCGTGCAGCCGCGTGGTTCCGAACAGTCCGTCGCTCTGTCTCTCTCACACCCGCCCGGGACGCCCCATGAGTGCGAGAGAGACAGAGCACTGCTCGGAATGGAGCTGCAGCGAGAGCGACGCTCGCTCGTGCCAGCCCTTGCCGGCCGGGCTGGAGTAAGTGCTGCGCGGCGCTGCGTCGTTTCCGGAGTGCCCCGCCTCGCGCTGCCCCGCCCGAAGCACCCCTCCGTCCTGGAGCCCGTCCCGTCCGCCTCGGTGCCCGGTCTGCCCGGTCCATCGGCCCATCGGCGCCAATCGGGCTGGGCTTGGCTCCGATGTCCAGCGTCCACTCCACCGCAAGGCCACGCCTGCAGCGCCGCAGCAGCACTTGCACCTCCGGACACGTGTCAATTCTAATCAGGTTCAATTGGCGCGTCCGGCCGGCCAGGGTGCCGCGCCGTGCCGCGCGGTCCCGGGTTCGAGCCTCGTCCGCGGCGCGCATTGTTTAGGCCGCGGCCGATAACGAGCTCGAAGCGCCGCCGGGCTCCTGTCCCATTCCGAGCAGTGCTTCGTCGCGCTGTCTCTGTCGCACCCTTGCGGGACGCCCCGCGAGTGCGAGAGAGACAGACAGCCTTGCAGTGCCGCCGTGGCTGCAGCTCCCGCTGTTTGTCACCTGCGGGACGCCCCGCGATCAAAATACCGCGCTCGCTTCCCTCGACGCCACACTCACGTTCTGCGCAAAATGGCGGTCGGGGAGGCAAGGTCGTGTTTCAATCTTGATGTCGCGTTGTCGATTTCAATTCAGCGAGTCCTGCCGATACTAATGCCAAATAGGCCCGGTCCGGTCCAGGCCGTCCCGTCCAATCTAACCGACCGGCACTTGTTCTTTTTGTCCTTTCGGTCGCGGGGCGCGGTCTCCATTGGGTCTCCATAAACAGCGTCCGGCAGACTTTAGGGCCGCCGCGTCGCGCCGCGTCGCCGGGCGGAATCCGACTTCATCACGCCCGCTATTTATAGGACTGGACCGAGGAAAACGAGACCCATCTCTCCCCGCGGCCCGCCAAGCGGCCCGCCAAGCGGCCCGCCCGCACCCCGTGGTCTCCATGGAGCCCGATGGAGCCTCAGACTCGCGTCCGCACCAGTCATTTTCTCATAAAAGCTTCGCCCACCCCTGCTCCGCCCTGCTCCGCTCCGCCGCCACAGTGTCGAGGTTACGAAGGTCACGGTCGGATAGATCCGCATCCTGGCGACTAGGCCGCGTCGTCGCCGTCGCCATCGCGGACCTTGTCCCCGCGGCTCCGCGAACTAGAAGCTCCCCGAATCCCACTTCTTGCCGCCACGTCCGCCGATCGTCATCGTGTTTGCCGCGGCCGAGAAGTGCCAAGAAGGCTCCTCATTCCGGACAGCTTTCCGCTCGCTCTGTCTCTCTCGCACCCACAGCGAGCGCGGGCGGCGCGAGAGAGACAGGACGAATGCAGGGCTCGGAATCAGCCTGCAGCCTGGCCAACGTCCACCCGGCGTGCGTCACGGTGTCGCGGTGTCACAGTGTGCGCCCTAGTATCTCCCAAACGGCTCCGCTCCGCCCCGCGAGCTTGTCCGCGAGTGCGAGAGAGAAAGAGCGCACGAAAGTCCCGTTCGGAGTGGGCCTGCACTGTTTCGCTTGCTCCTCAATTGATTGTGATTTCCGTGCCATGGCCGAGTGCCGCCCCGTGAGCCCTGCCGCGCTGCCGCCGCTCTCGCCCTTCCTGCCCTTCCCGAGGCCCACGGTGGTCCACGGTGTCGTCGACCGGCGCCAAAGTGACACGCCGTCTGACTTCGACTTTGCCCTCCGCTGGGCCCTGCCTGCGGACTGATGTTCCAAGAGACGTTCTCGTCGCTGTCTCTCTCACACCTGTACGGGACGCCCCGTGAGTGCGAGAGAGACAGCCTGCTGGCAGCCTGCTGGTGGTCCACCGTGACGCGGCGGGCGGTGGGTGTGACCCAACGCGAGTCACGCTCGATTAACGCCACAATCTCCTTCGCTTATTTGCGGAGCGCTCCGCCAAGGAAATTATCGCGACCCCCGGGACGACGCGACGAGAAGGCAGACGGCGGTGCGACTTTTCGCCTCGTTTTCGCTGTCGTTTTCCCTTTGGCTGTCCTCCTGGCCTTCCTGGCCTCTGCGGACCGCGTGGCGCGGCGCGGCAGATTCCGCCGCCGGGTCAAATTTCGATTTCGCAAATGAGACGGCAGTGGAAGCCCCCCGTCCCGCGGGGCGCGTCTCTGGGGCGAGGGGTACAAGGAAGTTGTCGTCCGCGATTGCTGTACGGGCTCACCAGCACCACGATCGCATGCCAGTGAACCGGCTTGAACTCGCGGCTGCGTACGCTGTGTGTGTGTGTTTGTGTGTACGTGGTGCGATAATAAGGGAGGCAGACCAGAACGCCACGCCTCGCGGCATGCCCGCGGCTCGCCTCGCGCCCCCGCAGTGTGTACATCGGCGTGCGGGTGGTGGCCGGCCGCGCCGGGCCGCCGGGCCGCGCCCCCAGAGTCAGATCGCCGCCGTCGCCGACGTCACGCCGCTAAATGGACCGTGGTCCTAATCAGTTCCGCGCCGCCGAATCGCGCTCAGTCTGTCCCATCTCGGAGGGGGGTGGGGGCTGACCCCCTCCGTCTGGCCCCGCCGCCCCCGCGCCGCGCGCCGTGTGTCGCCTCGGGGAGGTTGCGGCCCTGGCGTGCCCTGGCGATAAGCAGGCCGCGCGGGTCGGCCCGATGAATGGGCGGCGGTCCTGCAAGAGAGAAAGAGACGGCCGCTCCAGCGGGGCGCTGAGAATGAGAGAGAGAGAGAGAGAGAGAGAGAGAGAGAGAGAGAGAGAGAGAGAGAGAGAGAGAGAGAGAGAGAGAGAGACTCTCCAGCCCAGCCGCGGGGGCGGTGCGCGCGGCGGTGCGTGAGATGAACTCATCCAGCGACGCGGCTAATGAGTGCCTCTGCCAGTGGCGGCCATTGGCAGTGGCGTGTCCGCGCTCCGCGGCCACAGCAGCAGGCTCGCTCTGTCTCTCTCGCACTCGTGCGGTGTTCCGCTCGGGTGCGAGAGAGACAGAGCGACGAATCATCCCGCAGGTGGCGTCGCTGCTCTGCTGCGGTCTCGCGCACCGCCAGGGGCGGCCAGGACGGCCAGGGGCAAGGGGAGAGGGGGTAGTCCATTCACGATGCCCATGCCTTCGGAGAAGCGCGCAGAGCCGCCCCCGCCTCTTTCCTCCGCCCATTTCATTTCATGACCACTTCACTAGAATCCTCGCTGTGTGTATCGAACCTTATCGTCGCGCTAAGCAGTCGACGTTAACGTCGTTAGAGTCGATAAGCGCATATCGCCCCGACGGACCGGCCGGCCGTCCTTTTGCTTTGGAATTGAACGGACAGACACGCGGACGGACGGGGTTACGCAAACCCTGCTGTACGCACCAAGCGGCTGCGCGGGGACTCCCTTTGGGGCAGCCTGGGGTCGCGTCGCCTGGAGTCGCAGTACACGACGGTTGCAGGTTGATTCTGGAACGGTGCTTCGTCGCTCTGTCTCTCTCGCACCCCTGCGGGACCATGCGGAACGCCCCATGAGTGCAAGTGAGACGGCGAGTGACGCGGGGCCTCACAGTGGGCCAGAAGACTGGCGCAGGCGGTCAAAATTCTAGACCCGTATTGAGCTCCAGAGTCGCTAAATGGAACTCGAACCGAACGTGTGACCCCACCAATGGATTCCTCGTTCGGAGAGCAATCCATTGGTGGGGTCACACGTTCGGTTCGAGTTCCATTTAGCGACTCTGGAGCTCAAAACGAGTCTAGAGTTTTGGCCGGCTCCACCGGTCTTCTGGCCCACTGTGGGCCTGCAGCAAGGCCTGCAGCATGAGAGACTGCACTTTGCAGCCTGCATGGCGTAACAAGCAAACAAGCGCTGGCCGCGGCCCCGCGCCGCTGTACCTAGGACTCTATCCTCCGCTAGCCCCAGCCTGCCCCAGCCCAGAGCAACAAACCCATTCGTTCCAGTGCTGCTCTCCGGAGCCTCCGGGTCCAGATACTATACACTGGAAACGGGAAAGGGCTAGCCCAGGCAAGGGCAAGCACGGCAAGCCCCGCGCCGAGAAAGTGGACTAGAGCACCTCGAGGATTGATGCTCAAGGTTTTCGTTATCCGTGGCTGCGGCGCTGCGGCACCCATCACAAGCTCCCACGTTAAAATTAATTTCAATTAATTTTGTTATTATCGTCCGGCTAAAGCAGAAAGACGGGATCTATTTGTGGCTTCGTTAAGATGATATGTGGGAGGAAACTATGAACTCCATGAATGGAAAAGGGAAAAAAATAAAAACTACTCGATATGTAAACAGTGGGAGGCGAGGGTGTGAGGAGGATGGGGGGAAAGGCGGGGCCGGCGGGACGCCACCTTATCAGTGCGCCCGATCCTATATAGGCACCGCGGCTGCATCGCCGACAATCATTTCTGTATTTTCCGTCCGCCCCCTTGAACCACCGTTCCAGAGCCCGATCGAGTAGCTCGTCTCCGAGTGCGCGCCGCTTGTGCCATTCCGATTACAAATTAGTGTTGATCCATTTTGTGTACGGGGGGGTACCACCGTGAGATTGTGGTGCGTGTGTGTGGCTTCTTGGCTTGTTTCCTACGTGCAGTAGCTGCGGTGTGAGATGCCGTACTTACAGAGAGCGGTGAGTGTGGGAAGAGGGAGAGAATTGGAATGAGGTGTGAGGTGTGGTATGGGAATTCCCCCCCCCCTCTTTTTCTCATTTTCCATTTGGTCTTCCCTCCTTGGGCCGCGAGCCACCCGTGGCATGTCAAGGACCAAGGCATCGTACGCCCTTGATCCGGAGTCCACTCGGCGGCCTTGCTCATATCTGTTGAAGTCTGGCTCTTTCTTATTTCTTGGCTTTCCAATGTGTGGATTTTGAATGGGGTCAAGGAAGGTTTCCATAAGAACAAATCCTGTTTGAGCTAAATCAATGTTTATTGAATGTGATCAATGTCTAAATAAAATTTGTATGGTCAGAGTTTTGCCGCTTAAACATAAAATAGGCGAATTGATGACGTAGAAAGATGTAAATCTTCAGAAAAATACTTGGTCTCAATGACAACGTTGCCACTAATAGGAGGAAACAAACAAAAATTTGATATAATTTTAGTTATTTTGTTACCACATTTACTACAGTGCTAAGAGCTATATAGCAAGACTTACTTCAATACTGATGCTGGCATAAGTTGTGATTCAGGAGCTGCGTCAATATTTGAATGCCATGTGTTAGTTGAATTGGGTGTGACAAAGCCATATTCAAAATACCACTCTTCTAAAGCTCGGCCCTGCAAAATATAAATTAATCTTGTTAATGCGTCGAGGGTGCAAATATGAATATTAAAAGATCGGTATCAAATACCTTGAATAGCAATCTGTGCTCTAAACGGAATTTATTGATGGGTTCGGCTGATGAGAAGCAAATTTCTCTCCTGACAACACGGCTTTGCAATATTTCCTTAGGTACTTTTGCCTCATGTTCAATATCTGGATTCGAACTATAGTCACACAGAATATATTGTCAGCTTCATCTTACTTGGCAAGATAAATTGATGAAATTAGCAGAAACTACTTACAAGTCACCACTTCCGTGCCAAAGAACCTTTTCACTGTCAACGTCTATGAGTTTGGCCCAATGTCTGAAGAATAAGCTAAGGAATGAATCAGATTAGAACTGTCAAATTGATGTATTTATAAAAAATAATTTAGCACAATGTAAGGATACACTTGAAATCCACTTAGAATCTCTTCAGCTTTCCCCATTTTCCCTTCAGACATCTCAAATCATTTCAAGTCGGCGTAACTACGTAACTTTCCGTGGTTACAAGTTTTGTTTACCACTAAGTAAACGCTTCAAAAATTTTGAGGTTATGGTGCACAGCCCTGCTCGCTTGTTTTTTGGCGTCTGCGCGGCGCGGCGCCTTGTGACTTGCGAAACGCGGAACGCAGTGCCTTCGGCGGCAAATTTCAAAAACATTGCTGCTGACCTGTGTCCTGTGATTCGATGTAAGCTTTTTCTAATCCAATTTCCATTTGGTGTTGCAGGGCTTTAATGGTCGCTTGGCCTTTGCGATCGCCGCGGCGGCCCTTGGCTCGTCGTTCCAACATGGATACAACACCGGAGTTGTCAATGCCCCACAAAAGGTATGTGCACTATAGTTTATTGCGCTTCTCAATCTTACGATGTATGATTTTCATAATTTTGAATTAATGTTTCATTTTTATTATTTTTAAAGCTCATTGAAGACTGGATTAAGTCTGTGGAGCAGAACAGAACAGGAATTCCCGAGGTCGACCCGGGCAAGGTGACCATGATCTGGTCCATTGCTGTCTCTATTTTCTGCGTTGGTGGAATGATCGGTGGTGCCATAACAGGTTTGGTGGCAGATCGCTTTGGCCGCAAGGGTGGTCTACTTATCAACAATGTTTTTGTGATTGCTGCTGGTATTTTGCAAGGTACGGTTTTATATTTGTTTTATTGGCATCGTTCAGTGCTTTTTAATAATGCTCCAACACAGTCTCTCATTTTTAAAATTTCTATTTCAGGATGCTCAAGGGCTGCTGGTTCATATGAAATGATTATTCTTGGAAGATTTTTTATTGGTATAAACTCTGGTCTGAACGCTGGGTTGGCACCCATGTACCTTGCTGAAATATCTCCCATCCATTTCCGTGGTGCGGTATGTATTTATCTCATCTACTACTATCATAAACTGCCTATATCCTCATCAATTGTGTTTTTTGTATACTATAATTAACTTGGTTGGTTAAAATATGCTTTCAAACTTTCCAGGTGGGAACTGTTTACCAACTTGTTGTCACCATTTCCATCCTGGTTTCTCAAATTTTGGGATTGGGATCTCTCCTGGGAACAGAAACCAAGTGGCCTGTTCTCCTGGCCCTTACTGTGGTCCCTGGCATCTTCCAGCTTGTGACACTACCGCTGTGTCCAGAATCTCCTAAATTCCTTCTCCTTGGACGTGGTCAAGAGACCGAGGCTCATGCAGGTATACAAACCATTCAATACATTTTAATTGAAATATCCTTTTCTTAAAAGTCCCAATTTTTAAAAAAATTTTATTAATTTGATGAAACTTTTTTCATTTCTAAGCTCTGCGATGGCTTCGTGGCACCATTGAAGTACATGATGAGATGGACGAAATGACAAACGAGTATGAAGCAATGAAAAGCCTACCCAAGGTTACTATGAGGGAAATGTTCACCAACTCTATGCTTCGTGCTCCTCTCCTGATTTCCATGATGCTCATGGTTTGCCAGCAGCTGTCTGGTATCAATGCCGTAAGTAAAACTTCTGCTTTGGTGAACAGTCTTAATGGTCCTGTTTCTCTTGTCAATAAAGATTTTTTAAAATGAGATTAGAACTAACAAGGTATCTCTTTTTCTCCACATCAGGTAATGTTCTTCTCAACAAAAATCTTCAAACTGGCCAATCTTGATGATGATAGTGCTCAGTATGCAACTCTTGGCATGGGCTCCATGAATGTCTTTATGACACTGGTGTCTCTTGTTCTGGTGGAGAAAACAGGCCGTAAAACTCTCCTCCTCATTGGATTTGCAGGCATGTGTATTGACACAGTCCTCCTAACGATTGCCCTGGCCTATGTGGTATGTCTAGAACTGGTTATCTCTTGAGTATCGAATCTTTTAATATGCTTTCATTGATACATTTTTTAAATTTTTTTTCAAGCATTCGGCTCAATGGGTTTCTTACCTCAGTATTCTCTTGGTCATTGTCTTCGTGGTAATGTTTGCTGTTGGACCCGGATCCATTCCCTGGTTCATGGTGTCTGAGCTCTTCAACCAGTCTGCAAGACCTGCTGCGACATCTCTTGCTGTCGGTGTCAACTGGACAGCTAATTTCATTGTTGGTCTTGGTTTCCTACCTCTTCAGGTACGATTTGAAATGTGTCCTGATTACTTTCAATGCTTTTTCTTGTTCAAACTACTAGTGAATACTAATAAATTTTGTTTTTTCTTACAGGAGGCAATGGGTGGATACGTTTTCATCATTTTCTCAGTCCTTCTGGCGCTATTTGTTGTCTTTATTTTCTACAAGGTTCCCGAAACCAAGAACAAGACAATGGAGGAAATTTCTGCCATGTTCCGTCAGCAATCCTATCAATGAACATTTTTGTCAGCGACAGAGCCGCATCATATCTAAGTGCAAAATTAAGCCTATTCCTTACAAGAGCAGACAGATTCATAGTCTTCTGCCCAGAAAGTATTATAAGGCTTTATGCAAATAATTTAGTTGCGTGTGTACACTTTAAGTTGTGACATGTTTATGACGGAGGAAGCAATCTACTGCAGAAAGTCGTGCAGTCCCCATCAAACTAAAATATGATGTTGATTTTCTCAGAAGACTGATGGGTACAAGCATAGAGTGATAGTACATGATGTATCATTGTAAATTTGCATTATATAGATTTACATTAATTTCATGACAAATGTAGAGGCTGTGGTGTCCAGTTTTTATGTACCATACAAGGTATTGATCTGATTCTGTCTTCTGTCTTGAACCAGCTTGCGCTAGCTTCATCATCTTTTTAAGACCTCATTTCCTGTCTTGACTTAAATGATATTAATCTATTGTCATTGTGGACACCACAGTATGAAAATTCACAATGATGATGCAATTAAGTAATTAATTTTTTAGCCTTGATTGGATGGAGGTGGTGAATGAAGTGAGACTGAATATTTGATTGACAATTTTAGTTTTTCTCTCATCTGTATGCATGCATGTATGTGTGAGTGTTAGCTTTTATGTAGAACCAATCAATTTAGTAACTTTAAGAAAGGAGCTGATGTAGAGATAGGCTACCTTAGAAATACTTCATGCCAAATGACCCCTCTGGAATGAATAATTTAGTAAGCAATGTAGCAGAGATGTTCGAACCGATTATCATTATTACCTTAAATAGTTGAAATGTGTGTATTGTTTTAAGATTCATCTAAACATCCTGTTAATTATTATGTACATAATCATCTAGGCATACAAATCTCATTTCATAAGTAGACTCATTAGCTATGAATTTTAATTAGCTTCAAAGAGAGATTCCTATTACCTCTGTACTTTAATTTTTTAGGAAAGGAGAAATAGTTCTTGCCCTACCATGTCTGGTGAAGTTCAATTATCACCATGCATTCTGGTACAAATGTTTTAAAAAACATCTTCAAGATAGTAAAGAAGTCATCAACAATGAAAATTGTTTTAAGTTGCTCTGGTTTTGTTTTTCTCAGTTCAAAGGTAATTTTTATTCAAATCATTTTCATGAATCTTCACCCAAGAAGAATAATGTTGTGAGTTGAATAGTCGAATCAGTTGCATGTTATGTTTCAGGCCCTAGTTTAAAGTATTCGTACTTCTCTTAAGCTCATGAAAGTTTGCTTCTTGTACCATATGTGTTCATGTAACCTGCATTAAAATCGTCAACTTGTCTTTAAAATTATTTGTCTGTGTTGTAGTGGCTATGTGATAAAATGCAGCAATACTGTCCACTTAATACTCCTCATGTTTCCCTGCATGATTTCTAGATTGTCATGCTTTAAACATATACAATGATGAAAAATCTGAAAGTCTTTGCTATCATCCTTTATGTCCCAACTTATCATTCTAAACATTTTAGTGCCAAGAGCTAGGCTTAGTGCAATGTATTGTTGACAGGCTACAGTAAAGTAAATGAATATGATTTTTCAGACACATTTGTGAGAATGTAGCTTGATGTAATGTGAAAGGCTATAACTTTAATTCAAGGTTCAATTAAGCCGAAGAAATACATTAGAAGTGCACTTGTTTCTGTGAAAGTGAATCTAAGTAGAGAACAACAAACAATTTTCTGTCTTAAATGTGGCATTGTTTATTTTGGTCACAAACTATGATGGCGCTTATATTGTGTGCATGATTTTCTACAAATATTTCAATGCCATTGAGGTCTCAGAAAGCGAGTAACTGTTATTATTTTGATATTCTTATTGTAATTTGCGATGGGGCCTCAACCATACTGCAGTGATGTTGTGGGAAGTTTTTGAAGTTATTTTCTTATGTATTCTCGTCTGTCGTCAGTATGGTCCCTTATTTATACTGTTCTAGCAATGGCGAGGGCATTAATTTTTAATCATTATGGTACGAAGCCAACAGAAAGGCTCTTGCCATATGGATCAAGTTTTGAAATGCTGCTGACGCACATCTAATCAAGTTTAATATTGCATGGCACAGCATTCATTGAATTTGCTGCAAAATTTTGTGCTGTTACAAAATTTTCAGTCTTCTTAATTTATTTTTGCCCTCACCAATGCTTTTTTTAAATGCAAACTTAAGTCTACCTCAAGGCAAGATTTTGTGTCCAATTTACCTTGTTTCCAGTTGGAGGAGTGGAGTTGTGTTGTACATTGTAGATAGTGTTGGACTTTGTGCTTTGTTGATGAAATGTTATAAATTATCGTTGTTAACGATTTAGTATACCATAGTACTTTGGAAAATCAATTGCTGCAATGCGCTTTTGTGTCACAAATTACCAAGGAGTACCTAAGTTAAGCTAGAGTACACTGCACGGCTGCGCTGTCGATGTGGTCTCAGTGACAGGCGTGAACTCCACCATCCATGAAACTCTGTATGTGCAGACAAGAAGTGTAAGTGAGTTTGTTTCCAAAACCGTGTGATGAATCATTGTGTATAAAAAATATACCTTAATTTATCAACTCCTGCATTACCTTACTCACCTCTTTCCCACCATGGTTGAACTACCGGACACTGTACGCTGGGGCCAGCGCTCCCGGAGGGCAGGCAACCCATCGTGCACCGCAGGGAAGACCGGGGCCGGCCGCGGTAGGATTCCAGTTCACAGCTCCGATCCACGAGCTAATTTTGCGGGTCGACTTTACAAGCTCGCCATGGTTTGCCGTAGCGCTGCTGTCGGGCCGCGGTGTGGCCGTGTCTTGAAACCACCAGGAACCTGAATCCTGAATCGGAGGGCCACCAAAGCCAAGCCAAAGCCGACAGCAGACTTATTCCAAGCACCGCTCTCGTCGCCATGTCTCTCTCGCTCTCACGGAGCGTCCCGTGTTGGTGTGAGGGAGACGGCGACGAAAGCTGTGCTCGGAATCAACCGACAGGCGGCGAGGCGAGCTTATACCTCCGGGGTACTCTGAGCGACTCTGAACCAGATTTCGATCTCTAGGCAAGTCAAGTCGGCACTTTCCTTCTGGGAGGTCCGGCGGCAGGCGTCCTAGTCCTGCGGGTAAACAAACGGGACTCGCACTGACCCACATCACATGCAGGGGCTGCGGGCGTGGCGTCAGGCGTGGGTGTCCTGTCCACGTTGGTGGGTTCACAAACCAGAGCAGTGCTGTCTGCCGTACCGCTACACTAGCCCTCATCCTTGCGATTCGGTCCAGGCGAACCAGCGGCTGGCGCGCTGGCGGCGTCCTTGGTGGAACTCCGGGCAGAAGAGTGGCGGAGCGCGATCAGATCAGGAGAACACTCTTTTCTCCAAATCGTGACGAAGACGGAGCGATGACGTCACGCGCACGCGCACACACGCACACGCAGCGTGCGGGGGTCGACAACCCACAAGCCAACCAGCCAACCTCCTCCGGCTGGTGCTGATCCGGCACATAAGCCGACCTAAAGTGCCTCTGGGTCGGGAATCGCTTAGGAAGGAGGGGGAGAGGATAAGAAAAGTTACATAATTTCCACGAAGGTTCGTGTATTTATCCATTTATTTTTCAAATACATGGAGAAGACATTTATTGGCAGTTACAATCCAGTGAACGTGCTAGGAGTAGCGCTTAAGATGCGGCTGAACTCAACCATTCGCCGCTCGCTAAGATGCAGAAAAAGTGAAAAGTTTTGCCTTTTGGCTGTGCAGGAATTTGCATAAAATTTGCAAATATATGAACAATTGCGCACACTCTTCCTAGCGCTCCTGGGTTACCGCTAGGGGGCCTCATCTTTTGCATCCGACTACCGACTCCCTCTGCTCACTCCGTGGGCGCAGGGGGTGAGAACCAGTCACATCTCAAGGATTCTCTCCATATCTTGAGAAGACACGCAAAACGCATTGGGCGCGCGATGTACTCCGCGTCCGACGACAGCCCCGCGCCACCCCGCCTGCCCCGCCCCCCCCTGCTGGAGAGGCAGGCCCCCTCCGCTCGCAGCCGTCCCGATATCCTGTCAAGGATTTAAGCCTTCCGATGACACACAGGCCGGCTTGGCAGAAATACGTGTACTGCGGGAGCGAGAAATACACGCGCGCGGCGCGCGGGGCGGCGTCCACCGCGCGACCGGTTTCTGCGTCGCTGGCTGATGTGGACGGTCGACGCCGCGCAAGGAGGCGGGCAAGGAGCGTGGACCCGGTGGACGCCGCGCGCCGCCCGCCAGCCGCCCGCGTGCCACCAGCTTCAGCTTCCGCGACGGACCGCGACGCCGGCCGGCCGGCTTCTAGTGCCGCCGCGTGCCAGCGTGCCACGCCGCAGTGCCCCCTGGCGGGCAGGCGGCAGGCAGCACGCCGCCGGCCCCGCTCGCCGGGTCGCCTACCTCGCGCCGCTCGCGCCTCGCGCCCCAAGGCCCCGCGGCCGCCGCCTCCCCGCCGAGCGATTCCGAAAGTCGTTCCACTGCTCTGTCTCTCTCACGCCCCCTCGTGACGCCCCGCACGGAAAAAAAGGATTAGTTGTGACAACTAACATGTTAGTTGAAAAGCGTCCAAAGAAGATTTTAGTTTCCACGACTAAAAGTTTGCTGCTCGAACGAATTTATAAGTTGGAACGACTAAAAAACTACAGTTGGCTCAAGGATAAAGTTGATTGTGCGTACACTATGTTAGTTGTGAGGATTAACACGACCGTCACGGAAGAAAATAAACCACGCACAGAAAAAAAATCTGCGGCGGGAATCGAACTTAGGACCTGTCGCTTGTCAATCAGAGACGCTGCCCACTGCGCTGCGGACATTCTTACGAGACCCGACTTTCGGGCGATCATTTAATCGTCGCTTGTCCTAGCATCGGTCAGTTTGCTGTATCAGCGTCATTGGTCATTCTCCCGCTATCAGCTCACCACAGCGCAGTGGATAGCCTCAGCAGCTCTCAGATCACAGATTCCGCGATCGATACCCGTTGAAGGTTTTTCTTATACGAAGCTTCTTTTCTCTCGTGACGCTCATGTTAGTCATCACAACTAACATAGTGTAGGCACAATCAACTTTATCCTTGAGCCAACTGTAGTTTTTTAGTCGTTCCAACTTATAAATTCGTTCGAGCAGCAAACTTTTAGTCGTGAAAACTAAAATCTTCTTTGGACGCTTTTCAACTAACATGTTAGTTGTCACAACTAATCCTTTTTTTCCGTGCGTGTCGTGTGTGTGCGAGAGAGGTAAAGAGTCATCGGATCCGGCCCGCTGTCCGCGGCGGCGCGACGTTCGTGCCGCACGGGAAGTACTTTGTCACGCGGGAAGCACTTCGAGGCGAGGATGAGGAGTGAGGAGTGCGAACTGCGAATAATGCGTGTTGCGTGCAGCGGGCTGGTCTTATCGCGGATCGTCATTCCCAGTCGCAGGCAGCCCCCAGTCCGTCTCTCTCGCTCTCACGGAGCGCGCCGTCGGGCCGTCGCGGCGTGAGAGAGACGGAGCGACGAACAACTGTGCGGAATAATGACTCCGCTGCAGCGACCGACCGGTGGGGCAGCTTGGCTTCCACCGCGGCTTGCCTGCCGACGCCAAGTGGACGACCACACGCCGTTGTCGTCCCTTCGACCCGTCTTTCGTCCTTCTGCCTCTGCTTTACGTTTCACGCGGCGGTGACGCAAGTCCCATCCATTTCCGCCTGCTTCTTCCCCTCCTTCCTTCCTTTCCGCGCGCCTGCTCGTGTTTTCGGCTTGCGCGTTCGTTCGTTTGTTTGCTCGCTTGTTCGGCGGGGATCAGGGACGCAGGCGATGTCGTCTGGCCTCCTCGCGAGAGCGGCGCCCGCAGCGCGCCGCGCCGCACCGCGCACCGCCTCGAAAAACACGCCTGGCGGCGCGAGTCGCGAGCGAGTCGCGAGTGGGGTAGGTCACAAATGACGCATGCGGCGTGCGCCAGGTGGGGGATGCCCCCCAGCGGGCCCCCACCCCTTCCCAAACCTGCCCCGATTTTCTTCCAATATTCCCCATTTGAAGCTCCAGGCCGCCGCCGCCGTGCTCCCCCTCCCCCTTTCTCCCCGCCCGAAAGTCCCCGCACCGCGTTCGGTGTTCGGTGCGACGGCAGTGCGACGGCACCTCCGCGGCTCGGCGCCGAGCACGCGGCACGCACGGCCGTCTCTTCCAGCTTCCAGCCAGGATGACCTTCCATGAACGCCTGCAGTCCGCCATGAGTCCGCAGCCTGCAGCCCTCCCAAGGAGACCCACGTCCCATGACGTCCCATGAGCCGGCGCGGCGCCTGCTCGACTTGGCGGCCTGCTTGGCGGCCTGCTTGGCGGCCTGCTTGGCGGCCTGCTTGGCGGCCTGCTTGGCGGCCTGCTTGGCGGCCTGCTTGGCGGCCTGCTTGGCGGCCTGCTTGGCGGCCTGCTTGGCGGCCTGCTTGGCGGCCTGCTTGGCGGCCTGCTTGGCGGCCTGCTTGGCGGCCTGCTTGGCGGCCTGCTTGGCGGCCTGCTTGGCGGCCTGCTTGGCGACATGCTTGACCTGCTCCAGAGGCGCTATCACGTTCTGAACACACTATCACGACCAAACGAGAGCGTCGTTACCGTAAAAATGCAATTTTTAGCTCAAGCGTATCAAAGTTTGAGGTTGCGGCGGACTAAATAGTTACCTGTTTCCCGCATCTCACACGTTGAAGCCCGCGTGGGGCCGGGGTCTTCGTTCCCGATCGTTCCAGAACATCGTTTCGCCGGCGGCTGGCCTTGTAATTGCGCGGTTCGCGCTCAAATCTAGTCCGGAGATGTTTGGTTTGGTCGGAACCGACTGCGGTCATTCAGGACAGTTTGTCGAGTTTGGCCAAAACAAGTCCGGCCATGAATGTGTTAGCGATGCGTAGTTTGGCCGGAACAGACATCGGTAACTAGGGCCATTTTTGGCAAAACCGGGCCCGGTCATGAATGTGCGCACGTCACGCACGCGCGCGCGAAAATGAATACAATTTTAAAATGCCTTGATTCGAGCACACTCTTTTAGAAAATTACTCCGCCACGAGAATAGATTGACACGATCTCCAGATCGTGCGAGATGGTCGCCTGCGAGGTAGACCACCAAGCCGGCTCGCAGCACACCGGTGTGGAGACGGTGGCCTACCTCGCCCCTGTGAAGACGGCAGGGGCGAGGTAGGCCACCGTCTCCACGCTGGTGTGCTGCGAGCCGGCTTGGTGGCCTACCTCGCAGGCGTTCCAGGTTCCCAAAGCAGCAGTCCGCATGACTGACAGTTGCTAAATGTAGAGAAGCTCTGCCAATCCACATCGTGTTTCGAACCTTCGCGCCCTGCCCCCGGCACCCCCGGAGCTGGCGCGGCGCGGAGCGGTCAGCCGAACGGCCACAACTACGAAGATGACTACAAACTTGACTACAAAGTCAATTCCAAGAACGGGCGTGGTCCGGCCCGGCCGCCGGGTCCTCGGCGGTCCTCGGCCGCTCCGGCAGGAAAGTTCCTCCTGCCCGACGCGGCGCCCCGACGACGCCGGCTTGCGGCTTGCATAACGCCGTCCTGGAGGGTCCCGAGGGTCCAAAGGGCTCGCCGCCGCCTCGCCGCCTCGGACTGTGCCGGTCGCTGCCGGGCCCGCCGACAGGACAGGGCGTCCGAGAGGGCATCGAACAGGACGGAAAAACGGAATCAAAACGTCTCAACGACGTTGTTTGGAAAGGCGTGGGAACCCAGGCAGCGGGATGAACCGTGTGCGTGAGGCTTGGGCGGGGCGGGGCGGGGCGGGGCGGCCGCCGCGTTCACGTTCACAGGCCATCTATGTCCAGGCCGCCTCTCGGCCGCACGCGGTGCGCGGTGCACTATTCGTCGTCGAATGGAAGAGGCGACCACACCTGCCCGGCAGAGTGATTCCGAACAGCGATCTCGTCGCTCTGTCTCTCTCGCACCCGTGGGGGTGTTGCGTCCGGACGCGAGAGAGACAGCGGCGGGACACTACACTGTGCTGCCTGCTGAATCGCGATGCGCAGTTGGCAGCACCTCCTGCAGGAAAGGGCCGCACGTGGCTTTGTTGCGCCCGCGCGGTGGCAACCAGTCGCAACAGTGGCGTGGTCGAGGCGGTGGTCGCGGGTTCGAGTCCCGGACGCTCCCGCCTGCGTGCCGCTGCGTGCTCCTGTGGGATCTGGAAGCGGCGTGGCGAACGCCTGGAGCGGCCTGAAGCCTGAATCCGGCCGGAGTGCGGAGGGGGTCCCTGGCCGCCCTGCCGCCCTGCCGCCCTGGCCGGCCGGCGTGTATAAAACGGGAGTACGCCGGCGCCGACCTGTTAGTTCCCCGACGTCCAGCTCTCCACTCTCCTCACACGCCATGCTGACGCGAAGCGCGGCCGCCGGCCTGGTGCTGGTGCTGGCCGTGACGGCCCCCTCCGTGCAGGCCGCCAACAAAATCCGTAAGCACCCTGCACTCTTGCAGCCTCGGCCCGCCTCGGCCCCGTTCTCAGACTTGTGGTGGACATGGACATGATAGGTCAGACCAGGTAGGATCGTAAGCCGAATCAGGCCGATTCAGGCGCACCCCTGCCGCGCCACTTTCGGAGGAGTGGCACTTTGAGCGCGATGCGCCCCGGACTGTCTTCCCTCGAGGCGCTTAACGAGGTACGATTTAAATTCAAATTCGGATTGTGATTTTCTTCTTTCTCGTTCGCCCCTCGAGGCGAACCCGGGAATAAAACACGAAGGTTTTAAATAATATCACTTTGAATCGTATGCCGACCGCTTGCACCGAAGCTTCGGGCACGGGTTTTTGAACCGGTACGGCCAGCGCTCTGCCCCGCCATCCCCGCCGCGGCCCCGCGCTCCACCGTGCTCCACCAGCTGCTGATGGGGTGGGTGACGTAAAGCGGGCGGAGAGCGGAGAGCGGCCCGGCGGACAGGACAGGTTGCACTCGCCCCGACCCAAGTCGCACACATTCGAACGTCGCAACGCGCAACGCGCGATAGCGATCGTTATGCACTCGTTTACGCAACCCGCACTAAGTACAGGACGCACTCCTTTATTTGGCCGAGTGCAGCGCAGTGCAGGGCAAACGTGTTTTCGGTCTGTGCGTGGTGGTTACACTGGCGCACGGCAGTGGGGGCCAACCAACCTCCGTGTAGTGCCTCGAGCCTGCTGCGAGGCTACGCGGGCACTTCGAGGTGGATCGGGTGCTGTGCCGGCTGTTTAGCCGGGCGGGGCGGGGCGGGGCAGCGCGTCAAGCTTGGAGTAGGGTTCTAAAAAAGTGTGAAAAATAAAATTTGGAAAAAAAAACCATGAAAAAAAACGGTTTTTTTTTTCGAAAAAAACGGAAAATTATTTTTGGGCCTGAAATGTCGTTTAAACGGGTGGCGCGAAGCTAAGGGGGAAGCGTAGTGGCGCGTTAGGTGGCAAAAAAACGAAGCTCACGTTTTTTATTTTTATTGTCATACCTGGGTGTTGATATTGACCTAACTAAGCTTGCCAGCATGTCAAATAAGCACAAATAGCAAAACAACACCAAAAAGTACCAAAATTAGGAAAAAAACATATTTTTCCGGAAAAATTGCTAAAATAAAAAGCCGAAAAAAACAGTTTTTTTTTTCCGTTTTTTTCATGTTTTTTTTCCGGTGTTTAGAACCCTAGCTTGGAGCGTAAAGTGAACGACCGGAGAAACGAGTCGAAACTCGAATCTCGAATCCGAGTATCCGAGTCCAGCAGGTGGAGCCCGGGGCCCGGTTCGGCGCCGGGAGGCGGGTCGATGGTCTGCGTGAGGCGCACCAGGCGGCCGCGATGAGGCTCGCGTTCTCAACATCATCAACTCAGAACGACAACAACAACTTGAAAGAAAACCTGACGACAACAAACTATAACAAACTACTTGATCGAAACAACGCCGTGACCGTTTGCCTTGCCTGTTCCAGCCGAGTCGTGGGGGACGTGCAAGAGGTCCGACCCCAAGCTGGACGAGTGCCTGAAAGGCGCCATGCAGCGCGCCATGAAGGAGCTTGAAAAAGGTACCGACAAAATGAGCCACTCGGTTTTACTTCCTGTGTAAACATTTTTGTGCGCGAACCGAGGGGGTAACAACTGGCAAATTTCGTGTCAGCCGGATTACGGATTACCCCGGATTACCCCGGATTATCCCCAAATTACCTCCGGATTACAGCCAAAATAATCCTGGATTACCCCGGATTACCCCGGATTACCCCGGATTACCTCCCAATTTGCTGTCAGCCGGATTCCAGAAGTCGTTACCCCCTCGGCGCGAACTCACTCACTTTGTTTTTCCCCTCCCAGGAAATGCCGAGTTCGGCCTCCTGCCCCTGGACCCGTTCAAGGTGCAGCAGCTGCGTCTGGACAAGGGAGGCGGCGGCGCCCTGTCCATGGACATGACCCTGTCCGACGCCGAGCTGGTGGGCTTCAAGAACGCCAAGGTGGAGAGCTTCAAGTATGTGATCCTCCAGCCTGTGCTATGTTTTTTCTTTTATTCTCTGCAGCACTACAAGATCAAATGTGTGCTTAGTACACAGCTGTGGGAGCGTACTTGCAAGCACACATCTATAGGTGTATGCTTGGACAAGCACACATCTATAGAGTATGCCTTTAAATGGGTGGGATTAAAGTGTGCTTGGCCAAGCATACACCTATAGATGTGTACTTGCCAAGCATACACCTGTAGCTGTGTGCTTGCCAAGCACACACCTATAGATGTGTGCTTGCAAGTACGCTCCCATAGCTGTGTACTAAGCACACATTTGATCTTGTAGTGAGGGCTCTAATATCATGTCATCTTATTCCAGGGCTGACATGAACAAGTACAAATTCGTGGCGACCATGAGGACACCCAACCTGGACCTCAACAGCTTGTACAAGGTGGTCGGCAGGGTGCTCCTGATCCCCATCAACGGAAACGGAAAGACCACCATCAAAATGCGTGGGTGTCCTTTACCTTTCCCTAATCGGCCTCCGCAAAGCTCTCCCCATTATTGAGACTTACTGAATTGACTTTCCGTTCCGCAGAGAAAACGCTGATCCGACTCACGATGCAAGGCAACCTGAAGAAGGCCAAGTCCGGCAAGGAGCACCTCCACATCGACAACGTCAACTTCGAGCTCATCCCCGAGAAGTCGACCTTCAAGTTCGTCAACCCGGCCCACGCCACGCAGGGTGAGCGCCGTCTCTGTTCTGCACACTGAAAAGACATTTCTTAAAATGGGAAAATTTACTTGGATAATTTACCTCATGGCTGAAAGTTTCAAGTAAACTCGCCTCATTTTAAGTAACAATTTCTTTTATGTAGCAATGTTTTTTTTTTCTGGTTGTGCCTCGGTCAACTCGCTGGAAATTCATGACCTGCTCCTCTCTCTCCCTGCAGCCGATCTGCTCAGCAGAGTAGTCTCCGAGAACGACGGCGTGATCATGGAGGACCTGCGGCCCGCCATCTCCGAGGCCTTCTCCCAGGCCCTGTTGCAGATCGCCAACAGGATATTCAGCAAGGTCCCCTTCGAAGACGCCTTCCCCCAGTAAACCCCGGCAGCCGACCAGTATTTTTATTTAATTGTTAAGTCATGATTTATTTTTTTACGGAGAGGACAGAGCGAAGATCTCATTCGTTCTTAAATTTGAGGTGTGTTCTAGGCTGTTGTGTTTTTTTTGTGACCTGACTGTTAGTTTTAATGCCAATAAAACTTGTTCCTTTTCTAAAAGCTGTGAGTTGAGTTACTTAATCAAATCAGACAGCCCCCTCCCCCATAAAAACAACCATAACAACAACCAACAACTAAACCAGCAACACAGAAGCCCCCGGTGCACCAGCCCGGCAGGTAGGCAATACGTCGCACGCCGATGGGAGCGAGACGCAGACTGCTCTGAAAATTAAAATGTGCACCGGAAGTGGCGATGCAACGCGACTCCAGATGCAGTCAAGGCGAGCCAAGGTCGATAGGTGGATGGGGGCGCCGGCGAGACACGACTGGCTAATGGTGGTAAAACTTTGAAAACAAAGCGGGTTCGACACGCGGGAGGAAGTCGGGCTCGGAAGTTGCTGTTGCTCTGGCATTTTATGCGGCGCTTCTGCTGTGCCCCAATTACCAACCCGCACCAGCAGCAGTGGCGTGCGAACCGCGCCAGCCCGCGCCACTAGAAGAAGAGCAACAAAAACGATTACCGCTCCAGGAGCGAGGAACATACAAGAAGAAGAAATCAAAGAGTTCATCATCATGGAGACTGCTTTGTTGACACCGCACGCAGTGTGTGGGACCCACAGCGCAATCGGCATTGAGACAACCTTCCGAAAAAATGATGAGATTCTTTCGGGCTCGAACCCAGGCCACGTGAGTTGAGAGTCAGCACTTCTACGACCTCGGCCACGGACAAGGTCAGTCAGGGCGCCGTCCAGTGCATTCAAGTTCCCCCGGCGCCACGAGGGAGAGGGCGCGCGGCAGTGAGGGGGAGGTACAGCGTTATCCATTACAGTCGTCGTCCGGAGGGGCACCCCAAGGCGGGCCGGAAGGAAACTGGAGTGATTGCGGCGATGAGCGAGCACGGCGGCCGCCATGGCCGTCATGGCCGTCTCGGCGACGGGGCGCTGCGACGTGAGAATTGGTGCTTGGCACAGCGATCACCACCCCACCGCCAACATGACGCCCGCCACGGCGCCTCGGCGCCACGGGGTTCGGCCGCCGTCGCGTTCCCTCTCGCACCTCGGCTCCTCTCCTCTTCGCCGGCGGTCGGCGGCGGCGCTGCGGTCGACGCCGACCCGTCACGCCACCCCACCGCGGCGCGCCGGAGGCCCCCGTTTCGGAGGAGCAGAGCCCCGCACCCTAAAGTGCCGCGCCGCCGCGCCGCCGCGTTGTTATGTGGGCCGGTCGTCACCGTAATGACAGGCCGAACGCCAAGACGCCGCGGAGTGCGGGGCGCGGCGGGCGCGGCAGGCAGTGCGGGCGCGGGGCGCAGTGGCCGCGCGGCGCGAGGGGTAGCGCGGTAGCGCGGCGCCGATCGATGCCAGGTCCCCGTCAGTCCCTGCTGCACTGCGGCCCTGCGGCCCTGCGGCGTGGCCGGAGGCGCCACGAGGCCAGGCCGCCAGCCCAGTACGCGCCAACCAGCGACGGCGGGCGCACGTGCTCCGTGGCGGCGCGCGCAGACGTCCACGTCGACGACGCCATGGCCTGCCAGGAGCACCGCGTCGACGCCGACGTCGAGAGGACGCCCCTCGGCACCGACCCCATGGTGACCTCGGCCGTGAGGATCTCGTGACCTCCGGGACTCGCGCCGACCGTCGCGACCATGAGGGGAAACTACAGCTGACGGCCGAGGTGAGGAGATGAGTGCTCGAAGGAATACGGTGGTTCCTTCAAGTGGCAGGGGCCGTACATAAACCCCTACTACAGTCACCGATCGTCGAACCACGCTGCTTTCGTGGACAGCAGGGGCCTGGCGAATGTGGTGAATGTTGTTTGGGCGAGGGCATGGAACTGGGACTCGTGGGGTGGGGTCGGTGGGGTGCACGACGCGCACGTGGCGCCTGCCTTAGGGTGGGTGGAGGCGGTGTCACGCACGGCACGCCTGGAGGCACTGGGGGACCGGGGACCCACTCCATGCACTCCGGAAGGCGGCAGGCGGCAGGGGGCGAAGGTCATGAGTCAAGGTGTTTGTTTCTCACGGCCCTGCGCGCCCTGCGCCAGCAACCAACACATTTGTCGGAGCACCCAAGTGTGAGGGGGCCCTTCGCTTCGCCGTCCTTCGCACGCCCGTCCAAGCAGACTAGCAGACACACCCCGCGGGAACGGGCCACATCGGCCACATCGGCCAGATCGACACCGAGCATGCAGAGTGGGACGGGGTGGGGAACCCCCATAGAGGCGGGCGCGGGAGTAAGGGCAGGCTTTCCAGGTCTGGAACCCTCACACGCTCAAGCAGCACCAGGTTTAGTCCACTGTAGTGCCGACAGCCGAAGACAAGGCAGGAGCCGCTAACCTATCGATTGATCTATTTCCGTGAACACAACAAGAGCCCTGCTCATCTATTTTGTACGAATTTGTCGCTTCGCCGAGGGGTTGGTTCCTCGAAAACCTGATCTGACGATCGTCACTGGCTGCGCGTGCAAGCGTCTGTGTGCTTTCCCTCGCAGCGGAGGGTGAGTCCCACCCGCGGGCCCCGTCGTTGGCCGCCATGACCACCACGACGCCCACGCCGTCGACAGTGGCTCGCCAGCTGGGCACGGCGGTGTCCACCGTCATCTCGGCGACGCGCTGGCTGCCCGCCGAGGACTTGAAGCGGGACGCGGACTTGTACCGCGACTGCGGCCAGCTGCACCGACGCTGCGGCCTGCTGGTGACGCGCCTCCGCCGCCTGCTGCTGCACATCGCCGGCACGGCGCCCGCCCCCGAGCCCGGGTCAGGGTCCGGGGCCGCCGCCGTCGGAGACTCCATTGACATCCAGGTGGGCCAGCAGGGCTCGCCGCGGTCGGCCCTATGCCTCGCGGAGACTCGACCGCCGTCGTCACACTGGCTCACTTCCACCAGGAACTGGCGGCGTGCGTCGACGAGGTGGTGTCCGTGTCCGCGGCCCTGGCCCGTGTTCGTGCCGCCGTCTCCGCGTCCGCGGCGCAGGCCGCTAACGCTGCCGCCGCGGGGGGCGGCTCTGGCGGAGGCAGCACCGGGGGCGGCCCAGGGGGCAGTGGCTGCGGCGCCGTGCTCACCTACAAGCTGCAGTGGTGGCGCGGCCGAGTGTGGCAGGACCGCGTGACGCTGCTGCACCTCGTGCAGGCCATCGTCACGGAGACGCTGGCCCACTGCAGCCAGCACCCGGAGTGGCCTGGCTGGCGCTGTATCCTGCGGTGAGTAGTCCGCTGGATCCAAAAGGGCCTCGTTATGCTGGTCGGGCAAAACTTCCGAAAAATTCCCACTATGCACTAGTGCAATTAATGTGCTGGTCTCTTGGAGCGCCGGGGTGGCACGCCGCCCCGTAACGCACCGGTGCCGGCGTGTTGCCTACCCTCCGCTTGGCAGGCGCTCGGCCTCTGGGTCCCGACAGCCCCGGTCCCGGCGCGCACTGCGCATTGCTGCGCATTCACGGACGCCTCTGCTCTCGCCCTCAGGATGGTGGCCGTGTACAACGACATGCTGGCCCTGGGCTCCTCGGGGGAGGGCAGCGTGGTGGGCGTGTGCCGCAACTCGTGTGCCACGCTGCAGTACCCGCTGCGCAAGCTGTCGCTCACCAGGATCCTGCAGTTGCTGGCGCAGCAGCGCGCCGAGCGGTGCTGTCGGAAGCTGGTGCACGGGCTGCAGGCGAGCTACCGCCCGCCGCACGTCCGCCCCCGCGCGCACCCCGACAGCCCCGCCTCCGGCCGCACGCCTCGCACGCCACCCCCGGAGGACGACAACTCGAGCATGGAGATCTTCAGGGCCCTGACGCACCACATGTCGCCGCCGCACGGCCCGGCCGCCTCCACCGGGGGGCTGACACCCGTGGCGAGCGACGCGGGCTGCGCGGGTGCGGCCCCGCCGCACGGCAGGGCCGCGGGCTCAGACGGCAGCGGGCAGAAGCTGGACCTGGAGCGCCTGGTGCGCGACGAGGACGCGCTGCTCGGCGGGCTGCTGCAGGCCGCCGTGCGCCACACCCCGCACCTCCTGGGCACCGGCGCCGTCAAGGACTCTAAGACGACAGGTAAGAGCGCTCAGCCCAGTGCCTCGAACAAACACACAGGGTGCCTGGAGGCATAACGAGCAACTCGGTTCCAGACACGAAACGCGCGCGCGGGGGAGTCCGTCGCCGCGCCCAGCAGTACTACCAGCAGCTGCTCTGGGGCGAGGTGGGCTGCGTGGTGGAGCACGTGTTGCTGTGGTGGGGTGCTGGCCGCGGAGGCGGCAGGGGCGCGGGTCGCGGGCCGCTGGGCGCAGAGTCGCCGCAGCACTGCCACCACCTTCGCGCCTGGCTCATCAAGCTCACCAAGTCCCGTGAGTACGAGACGAGGGGACGTCCCCCAGTGTACAGTCGCGCACATCAGCTGATCTGCTGCACCTTCCGTCTGCAGCCGCGGTGCCCGCGCTGTGTCTGGGCGCGCTGCAGAGCCTGGTGGACTCGCTGGGCGTGCACGTCACCTCCACGTCGTGGGACGCGCTGTTCCGGCGCTCCATCGTGGCGGCCGGCCACCAGCACTGCCGCGGCAAGGGCCCCGGGGCCGGTGGCGGGCGCACGCGGCAGGACGCGGAGGACGAGCAGCAGGAGGGCGGCCGCGGCGACGTGGAGGCTGGCGTGCGGGGCACGGCCACGGGCCGCCTCTTCTCCGCCACCCTGGCCGACCTGGTGGACCTGTCCAACCACTGTGAGGGTGACGGCCCGGCGTGCGCGGCGCCGCCACTGGACGAGATCGAGGCCCTGCCGCTGGTGGAGCAGATCCCGCTGCTGCATCGCCTGGACCACTCGGTGCACACCACCCGGCTCTGGACGGCGGCGCGCGCGCGCATGCTGGCCGGCTCCTGGACGCTGGCCGCCTTCTTCCTCGTGAGCCAGCGCGACGTGGCCAACTGCCTGGCCGAGCTGAGCAGGCTCAAGGTAGGCTAATTCAACACGAACTTGTCGTCGCCTTCGCCGAGAAAAGGCAAACAGTGTGTTGTGATGCCGCAGCTCCGCGACCACGGCGATCTGCCCCGCACCGCCAGCGTGCACGTGACGGTGTGCAGCCGGATGCGCGCCAAGCTGGTGTCCGAGGTCAAGGAGAACATCAACAAGCTGAAGCGCGTGCCGGAGGAGTCCATCGCCGTCCTGGCGTCCGTGTGCCGCACCGTCAGCCTGGCCACGCTGCACATGGTGTTCCCCGCGCCGCGGTACTGGCGGCAGAGCGGCTCCGGCGGCATGCCCGAGTACGCCACGGCCTACGTGGAGGACTTCCTGGGTGAGTGCTGGCCCAAAGCAGATGGAAATGTTTCTCAGAACGTCAATGTGGGAGGAATTGCCTCGTTCCTTGTTCTCGACGGCAGAGCGCGTGCTGCGGCCCGTGCTGGCGGCCAGCGGGCTGCTGACGGCCAGCGTGCAGCTCACGGTGGGCGGGCTGGTGCTGCGCATCGCGTGCGAGTCCTGGCTGGACCACATCTACACGCGCCGCATCAAGTTCAGCGAGTGGGGCGCGCTGCAGCTGCTGACGGACTTCGGCGCCGTGCCCACCTGGCTGTGCGAGCGCGTCTCCCTGCCGACGGAGCTGCGCGCCGCACTGCTCCGCCACGAGGTGCTGCGGCGCTGCGAGGGCGTGGGCCGCCTGCTGCTGCGCCGCCCCGGCGAGAGGGTGTCCATGACGGCCAGCGGGCTGCCCGCCGCCCCCGGGGCCGCCGCCACCGTCCACCCCGCGCTCGCCGCCCCCGCGGGCCGGTTCGGCCAGCCGCAGCCGAGCGCCGGCCAGGGCGCGGACGCCGCGGCGCCAGCGGACACCATGCCCGCCGAGATGTACGTGCCAAACCAGGAGCAGTGGCTGGAGCTGCGCGCCCCGCGGGGCCCCAGGGACCGCGTCAGGGCGCACGGCCTGTGCGCCGCCACCCTGTGCTGCATGCTGCCTGCCGCGGCCCCGAGCTAGGGGCTAGAGGCATGCCTCCCAGACGTTATCGTGTCAACTGCCAAAGCAATTCCTCGCTCAAAAATCCGCCGGTTGTGCGTTATGTTGTTCTTGTGCCCTATCTACATGTTCTTCAACAAGGTATTGTTGTCTCCACTTCTGAGTTGTTGGCAGCGGTATGTATGAAAATCCACCAACAAAATAAAGGACTATTTTAAGGTGATGTTTGGACTCAACAATCATAATAACAAATTAATAATTTAAAAATACAATTCAACGTAATAGAAAATTTAATACTATGTACGTAGAGTAAAATTCATACAAAAATTTGTACCAAAAGTATAATGATAAAAATGATATATAACCATGAAGTATAAAACAAAGTCATGCTGAAATCAATAAAACACTTGGAAAGTTCCAATGAGCTTTCCATTCGATAATGATACATTGGTACTGATTGTACGTGTGCTTATGGCTAAATTTGGCGCATTTTTGGTTTTCCTGGGCGAACCGATGTCGCAATTGCTGTAGCTTCTAATCACAGTATCACAAACTACTACAGACGAGATTGAGCATTGCGCATCTGCAACAAGTTTTGCTTCGTCGCCGTGTCCGGGCGAAGCGGCTTGCTGAAAAGCGAAAACAGTGTTCAGTGGAAAGACAAACTTACGAAAATCGAATCGGCAAGAGCGACACAAACACATACCGTCTTGTCCGACACGTCTTCCAGGTATTCTCCCTCGTCTTCTGGACTCGACGCAAAGGCGGCAACCACCTCGTCGACGTCGATGCCCAGGTCCCAGACCTTGGACAGCCTGAAAGAGTTTAAGTTAGTTCACCCTGAACTAACGTGAACAAAGACAAACACCAAGTTGCCAGTTGACTCACCACTCGCTGGTCTTCTCGGTGGCGCTGAGGGCAGGCTGGGGCAAGTCGGTCAGGTCGAGATGGCCGTCTGTGAGGTCCGTCGACGGCTCCGCTGCTAAGGAAGGGTCATTCCCCGTGAGCAGTGGCGGCAGGACAGTCGTCTCCAGACGGTCGCTGCCGCTGGCGGACGAAGACGGACGCAGCCTGTTCTGCACGGCCGCACGCTTTTCTGACGGTTCCGGAGCCACGGACCCTTGCTTCGCCTTGAGCGTCTCCTGCGACGCCGAGACGCACTGGTCGTGCGGCGAGCCGGGAGGGGTGAGCGCGGGGGCGGGCGAAGCCGGGTCCACCAAGTCCTGTGAGGAGTTCCGGTCGACGCCGAGGCCGTCACCAGCCGCGAAGGGTGCGGGGCAGGACGCGGCGAACGGTGTGGAGGTGGCCGACGGCCCGCCAGACCGCTTGGCGCTGTTGGCGGGGGTGCCGCGTTGCAAGGTCCTCTTCCTCGAGCTGCGGCCTCCAGGCGACGGCGCCGTGCTGTGCGTGCTCATGGAGGGTTCCGGCGACGACGCCGTCCTCGGCTGCTCTGTCTCCTCCATGCTGGGGAAGGGGGGCGGCGACGACGCCGTCCTTGGCTGCCCCGTCTCCTCCGTGCTGGGGAAGGGGGGCGGCGACCGCGGCGCGGAGCTGGCGGTGTCCAGTACGACACTCTCGACGGAGTCATAATGATTATGAATCCAGTTGCCGTCCTCCTCGGCGCAGCGGTACGCCAGGCGCAGCGCGGGCGCGTCCGGGCGAGAGTCTGCGGCGTCGCTATCCTCGTCGTCGGGGAGGTGCTGGATCACCGCCCCCATCTCCACGTAAACCTCTATCGGACACCGCCACATGTTGGCGATGGCCGACAAGGAGGCGCAGTCGCCCCAGCCGCCGCTCTCCACCGTCGAGATGCTGTCGTTGAGGATGCGGTCGCTGAAGAAGGCCCGGTACTTGGCGCGGTGGTCGCGCATGTACGCGGCCACCTCGTTGCGCAGCCGGTTCACCTCGGCGTCGGAGGGGAGGGTCCGGCGGCGGTCGGGGGATCGCCGCTGGTGGAGGCAGGACCGAAACAGGCAGTGGCCGTCGCCAGGGATCTCCCGGACCGTCACCTGCCCCTTGTCAAATTGGAAAGTCGGCCGCGAAACCTGCACAAAACCGCACAAGTTACCATGACGCCGCATTATCAACTTCGCTAACAGTTGAAAACAGTGCCGCAAATTGTTCACTTGTTCACATACGTGGAACGGGTCGATCCAGGGGAACAACGGCTCGTCATCGGGCACGTCCGCCGCAGCCGTGGGTTCCATTTGCTTCGGGGACCTGCAACGTGAAACACATTGTGCACCCTGACGTGAAGGTGTGGCCAACGTGGCATTGCGTGGCGCGTACGTGCCACTCCCTAGAGAGACTCAGGGGGACAGGCTTTCGGCTGAGCCATCGAATTAAAGCGCTCGCTCGGCCGAACCAGCCAATGAGAGGGCGCTGACGTCACCGAGTGGTCGCCTCTAAGGCTCTCTAGCTCTCCCCGATCGGCTTACCTCCTCGAAGAGGGGGAGGACGCCGCCTCGGCAGGGAGAACAACGTCATGACCGCCGTTTCCTAAAAAAAAGAAGGTATAAGGATTAGAAAAAAAGATACGAAAGTAACGTGTGGAGATAGAAGTGAAGACACTAACCAGGCCGAACATTGTTTCGCGAATCCTCCTGCTCGCCGTCGTTCTCGTCGTTCTCGGCCAGGGTGGGCAGCCCCTTCCCCGCAGCGTCCCGGACGCCGAGGACTGTCTCCATCCGCGACAGGGACGTCGGCAGCGTCTCCAGGCTGTAAATGCTGGCATTGTCCTCGCCTTTCAAGGCGTCGCCCCCGCACTGGGAGGGAAGCGTTGAATCCAGCAGGTCATCGTCCTCGTCCAGCGTCAAATCTATTACTTCCGTCTCCGAACCATCCATCTCTGCAACTCATTTGAGAATAAACAAATTAATATTTCCTCTCCTGCGTTGAACTCATTCGCGGAGACACGCCTAAGTTTTGGGTGGAGAAACCTTTTCACATTCCTTCAAGAGATTGCTCCCCTCCCCACGCAACTCGGCCGCACCTTTAATTCGAGGACCTTCCAGGGGGGCAGGGGCGGGGGGGGTGGGGTGGGGTAGCACTCGGACATCCGGATGCATGGGGGTGGAGTGGGGTGGAGGGTGCAGTTGTGGAGACTTTACACACCTCCTTCCGTAAAAATAAGGCTCCACCGTTCCCTGCTCTCGGAAAAATGACTGCGACAAATTCCAGCAGCTCGCAAGCGAGCCAGCGATACCCAAATTATCTCACGAGGGTCTTTCTTTCAAAACTAAAATATGACACGAAAGCATCTTCGGGATCGGGCATCCATTGGGTGAGGTATTGTTTTCAAGCCCGAAACGAAATGGAGAAACGTCAACGTGTTTCTTGCATCTGCCTTCGAATGTTTGGGGAGCGAGCGGTCATCAGCTGTTTTCCGCGACTGAGAGCCGAGAAGGACAAAGGACTGCATTCTGCTTTTGGTTCGCGCCAAAGACGGGGCAACAAGTGCACCGCCGGAACAGGGATTACACGCAATGACTCCCCTTCGCGGGGCAGTTGGGCACCTCAGAGGCCTCTAAAAGGGGCTCGGAACGAAGCGAACCGATCAGAAAGTACTGAAACAACGCCCCCCGGCGGAATTCCCCTTTCTAACCTATAGGCACAGGTGCGCATAGCAAACAAATAACAAAGCCAACCAAATACACGACCTCGACATCCTAGCGGACACGAATAAAATGCCAATGAAGACACCCCTTCACAGATAAGTGTGTAGCCACACACATCAAAACAATCGACCACAGTAAAACCAAAACAAATCTCAGCACAACAAAAATAAATACTAACCTGCACAATGATCATTATCACAAACTACAGCCGCCAGGAGCGCCACAGGCGGCCAACTCTTATCAACCACCACGGCCAGCTGGAGTATTCAGTCCGCCTTCCGCCTCTTTACTCCATGCCTCCGTGCAAATTATTACTTTTTTTAGTTTTAAAAAATTAAATCGCTCAGATCCCGGCTCGTGCTCAACCAATAACCACTGTCTGAATTATTTTGGAAAAGACGAAGTCGCTAGCGCCCCTAGTGGCTACTGCCGTTTATAATAGCGCGAAGATTTAAAATAGTTCGAAGTTCGAAGAAAAATTAAATTGTCTAGTTTGAGACTGGTACTTAGGTCATGTTGAGTGACTGTTACTGTAGTCGAAATGTGAGGTAATACGAGTCTCAATTTTCTGGTTTTAAGATGTTCTTAAACTTTTTTTCATGCTTTTATGTGGGAGAAAATGGAAAACAAAGTAGCTGCGGCAGTACCCCATTACTGCCGATCTTAAGTTTATGTTATTCAGGACAGGGCTTTGGGGGCGTGATTTCTTCAAAAGAAGTGTCTTTATCTTGCCCTCAGATTGGCCTCAAGTTTAAAATGATATTCGATTCTTTTTTATCAGGAGATCGTAAATGCCCACCGTCATGCAATCATAGGTTATAGTAACCCTTTGTTTCATGTGCTGCTGGGACATTGCCTGTAACATTTCATGTCGTGAAGTGTGAGGATTCACCTTCATAATGAACCAGCAGACTACAACCAAAACACCCTGTCGGGCAGTTGGTTTGAGGAGGATTCCAAGTGCATCAAAGTCGGAACCCATTCTGACATCTGCCTGTACGTCTCATGATAACGATGCGACACCAAAGTCTCATTGCAGTTCCCTCAAAATAAAACCTATGGTAAGAAGAAGTTTGCCTCCCCTAAGATGTCTGAGCAACATAGACATGTCTCCTGCTGAAGCCGGGGAATCCAAGAAAGAGAATCCTGATATGACATCAAAGCGAACTTTTTCCCCAAACGAAATCTCTGATGCCAATGCTACGAAGAAACTTAAAATTTGTTCAACTACTACTTCACCAACACTAGATGACTTACAATCTCTAAGAAGAAGGATAGCTGCCAAGGAGAAACGATTGAAAGAACTACGCCAAGCTGAAATCATTTGTAAAAAGGTAACATTGCTTCTATAATACTACCACATCACATCAGAGAAATAATAAGCGTATTTTACTTCTGGCTATGTTCCTCTTTCCAGCACAATCCAGAGAAGCTGTCCAAAGAAATCCAACAGTGGCTTTGTGGCTGTCAAGAGGCATTGCAGGACTTGCTGGATGCGGTCAATGCTAAAGGGCATGACGCAGACATGGAAAAGTTATTACTGGAGCTTGGTATTCCCTGTGAATTAGTTCAGTTTAATAATGATACTCAAGAATTTGAAAATGGAACTAAATAATCAAATAAAATGTTCATTTTTTTATAAAATGAATTATGTCTAGGAAATGTTGATTATTTATTTTTGAATACATGAATTTTAGGGTAACAAATTATGTACTGTAGTCTCAAATTCCATGTAATTACAGTTCTAACAAATTGTCAAATCCAATATAACTGTTTCTAACTAGTAAGGGTGTGGTCTCTTGGGTCTAGTTGGATCACATAGCTTTGGATCCTTGAAGAACTCTGGATGTTTATAATAATATGCCATTAATCCTAAGAAAAAGACAACAGAACGAAAAAGTTGTAATACATGACATACAATTGAGGTGAACGTAAAAACACAAAGTTGGGCTGACCTACCTGCTGCACGGCTCTTAAATATTTCACCTTCTAAGCGTACTTGTTGATCTTTACAGAGACCAGTAATATGGCGCCCATATACTCTTCCAGTTTGAGACGATATGAATTGAGACAAAAGCTTCACGTTTTTGTAGTCAGGAGTAATACCATGTTGGCATAAAATGCACTTGCGCTTACTCACAGTAAATGGGTTCTCCATATCCTGTGGCTGTAACATTAAAATAACATTAATGCCATCATAGTAATAGAATGCAAATTATCAAAAACAGCATCATCTTACTTCATCCTTCGCTCGAGCCTCGAACACTGCAGCACCAATCTCCTCCTCATACAGAGAAGCAGGTTTCACGATAACTTTTTCTTCAACAATCCTGGGCTTTCGACCCTTCCTCTTGCCCATTCTCTGCCTTCCCATTGTAAAGTAAGCTGTTCTCTTCTGTTCATACACAATTTGTGGTAGTCTTTGTACCAGAGGCTGCTGCAGCAGAGCCCGGCCTACGAACAATATTCAAATTGATTGTTATGGCTACTAATTTCGAAAAGCTATGCTTAACGATAACGAAAGACAACAGTGACAGTGACAATAAGAACTGTATTGGCGATGAAACATGCATGGATTCATGAAATAACCTAAATTAAATAACAAACACTGATCTTTGTTATCTACGAAAAGTTTGACTACAGACATTACCATTAGAAAACGCAGCTTTTATCAACAAAGACATTTTCTGATAGTTTCTTCTACCGCAACCAAACAATACAATGTTGCTTAGAGAATACTTATTCAGCCCAATATTTCTCTAAAATTTTGGGAAAAGTGTTTCGGCTCGTTGCGTGGTTAACAGACGACAGACAGTGCTGCTACAGCACAAGAAGTTTTTCATACAGACTAGCACTGACATTATGAGAAACTCAGAGGTACAGAGTTGGCGAGGTGGAAGTGGAAAGTTGTCAAGAAAATGTCAAGTCGGAAAATGATTTCGTGACTCCTTTGCCGCCGCTCTTTTTCTCTTTCCAGTTCTCTGAACTCTAAACGCACAATAAACTGTGAAGGCTAGTACAATCCTGCTAATGGAGGGTTTAAGAGACTCCACAGCGGTGACTGATTCAGGTAGTTAATGATTGTTGTCATTTCTCTGTTGTTTTCATTTGTGATATTTCAATATTAACTCATCTCTGAACTTCCCTTCACAGTCTCCTCTACAATACCTGGCCCTTACATCAACCCAGAAAGGACCGAATCCATTCCATTGAAGGGAAAAACAGCATCATCAAATTTCTTTGCGCGTTGCTGTCAGAATTGCTTAGGATTCGCTGATGACGATGCTGGAGATGGTTTGAAAGTCATTATTATTACATTCTTTATCCTGTCAGCAGCTGTGACTGTTGCTCTTGTTGCTCAGATCTACCATGGAGATTTTCAAGTAAGTTCATACTTCCAACCGAACTGGTTAAAGACCTTGTTCTTCCAAAAACACCTGTTGCTTTGAGTTGGTAAACGATTATCATGTTTCCCTCAGGTTGTTCCTCATGGAAGTGTTGCGACTGATAGTGAGAATTGTTCCAAAATTGGTACTGATATGTTAAAGAAGAATGGAAATGCTGTTGATGCAGCAGTAGCCAGTACTCTATGCATGGGTGTCGTAAACCCTCACATAACTGGTCTGGGAGGGTATGTTACCTATCTGCTTGTGTTTCTGGGCTCGCTGTCGGTAACATCATGACAGCGTTCTTTTAATGGTTTCAGTGGTGGTTTTATGCTGGTGTATGATCATCGCCGAAGTGCTGTGCTGGAATCCCTGGACTTCAGAGAGGTCGCTCCTCGGTCCTTATCTGGGCCAATTCATGAAACTGTTGGAGCCAACAGTGTAGGTGTCCCTGGCCTTGTGAGTGGGTTGTTTTCTGTTCACAAGGCCCATGGAAATCTTCCTTGGCTGGATGTTGTCAAACCTGCTGCTGATATTGCTAGGTAAGTGTCAGACTTTACAGTGTTGATTTATTTTTAAAAACAAGTGATTGATGATTACAGCATAACATACATACGTATGTACCTATTTTGTCGTTTCAGATCTGGATTTTTGGTTCCAAAGAGTTTAGTGGCAGCCCAAAGTCATTTATTACCTCGCTCTGGTTTCAATGCGATGCTTCACGATTTGGTTGATTCTCTTGAAGCTGGACAGTTGCTGAAACTACCAGCACTGGCAGAGACCCTTGACCTTATTGGAAATAAAGGACCAGATGGTCGGTATAGTCACAGTCACTGAAGTCAAAAATGGTGGAAGTTACTGAAACAACTTGTTTCCTGTGAAAATGGGACTCCGCTTCTTAGGACTCTAACACTCGCATGCGGGTATGTTGGGAGCACATATCTGTGAATTGAAGGCTGTTCATTTGAAAAATATTTGTAAAATATGTAGAATACCATATGACCTCTGATCTTTGGAAGGCACTGTAGTTAGCCTTCACTACACCCAAATGCTTGTGCATAGACTGCAGTTCTGTTCTTCAATTTTACTTTCCTCCTAACCTTGGGAACTTGGGATAGCATAATTTTTCAACCATCACCTCTCTAAAAGTGTAAATATTTAAGCAATTTCTATGTTTAAAAATTTGTGTTCTTCAATTTTATTTATGTCCTAACCTTGGGAACCTATGAACACATGGTTAACATAATTTTTCAGTCATCAGCTTTCTAAAATTGTAAATATTTAAGCAATATCTAGTTTTTTTGTTTTTTAATATTCTGACCATTTTTATTGTTTGATTGAATTGTTTCCAATTTGCAGTATTCTACAATGGAAGCATTGCCAAAGAAATCCTAGCTGTAACACAAGGAAGCTCTTTAACAGCCAATGATCTTTCAATTTATGGCCCAGTGCAGCGAGAATCACTCCACGAGAGCTTCTATGGCTTTGATGTCATTGTTCCTGGAGCACCTTCAGGTGGACCATTATTACTTGCAGCGCTAAAAAGCATATACACTCTTAATTTGACCGGATTTGTTGCTGAAGGATCTACTCCACTTTTGTTGTTAAAACAAGCTCAAGCAATTCAGCAGAATTATCCAGATTTCTTTTTGGAGTCAGGTGAATTTATGATTGTACCTTTTCAACAAATGCAAGTGATCCACAATTTTTAAAAGTGGCATTTTTCTGTGCAGGTGACCCAGATTTCAGTTCTGCCGCACCCTCTGGTCCAACAACATTTACCCCTATGCCAGAAACTGTCTCTTCGCATGTTGCTGCTGTTGATCTCAATGACCTCTATGTTTCAGTTGTGAGGTGCAGTTTTTGATCCTATATTGTTAATTTCAACCTTGAATTTTTTAAATCCTTCTCACTCTTGTGTTATTTTCTTTTCTTTCAGTGGGCACAACTCCCTGTTTGGATCTCAAATCTTGACTGGAGCAGGTTTTGTCCTAAATAATGCGCTGGCAAGCTTTGATTCAACAGATTCCGATAAACCTGTCAATGCTAGTCCTTTGAATAGACCCAGCATTGTCAGTCCCCCAGTTGGTTTTTCAGAAGACCATCCAAATCCTTCTGCGTCTGTGACATATGATTCTCAACCAGCTCCTGAGCAGAGGCAACAAGTTTCAGCGAGTCCTTCATCGCTGGAAACAGCCCCATTGCAGAGACCCAAACGATATGACCCAGGACCCAGAGCAACTGTGTGGGGCAGTAGTGTGGCTAACAACGCATTGGCTGGTGGCAAACGGCCCATTTCTCTTGCTACACCAATTATTGCTGTGGAGAGGGGCCTTATCTGCGGTCGACGGTTAATATTAGGTTGGTACATTCCTGTGCACAATTTGGGGTAATTTTTAAAAGGTTGGGATGTTTATATGGTATTTATTGATGTTTCTCAGGCGGAAGTGATGCGAGTATTGCAGCGCAAGTCCTGTCCCAATTGGTGGTATTAGATGAGAATGTAACTTCTAGTGTTGAATTCCCAAGAGTGAGATTCAATTCTGTGGGTTCAACCTTGTCACTTGAAGAATCCTATGCCAGCCATTTGAGCTCTGCCATACGACAACGGTTGGCAGATCTCGGTGTTCAAATGCAACCTCAGACTGCTGTCAACCCCAGCGTTAATATTATAGAAAAGATAGGTGACACTTTAGCATCTCATTCTGATTCGCGGGGCGAAGGACAATCTAGTAGATTCTAGAATAAGGTACTTCAAGCAAAAGACTTCTAATCCAAAGAGCTTACTTCGTCCTACCAAATTTTTTGAAAACATGAGATTATTGATATATTAACTTATTTATTTAACTTATAAAGTACTTCACATAGATCTATGCTGGTAAACATAGTGATATAGTTATTTATAATAATGAAATATTTATCTGAACTTTGTTGGTGCTTTCAATGTACTTGCTTGTTTAAAATTTACCAATTTTATTTCAAATTTGTATTTTGTTATCTTTTTACAAAAAATATATAATTAAACAATGACTAAACATCAAACATAGATTTTATGCTAAAATTGTTTGACAAAATAATTGCACTATCGACGGCCTCTGCCTTTTCCACTGGAACCACCTGCATCTCCATCTAAACTTTTTAACACTTTTGAGGTTGAAGTTCTTGCATTTTTACCCCTTTTTTTCTGAAAAGAGAGAAACAGTTGGTAATTCAGACACAAATGCATAGATATGAGCATAAAATTAGATCCCAAAGACACCTACTCCTGAAAAGTTCAGCTGAACTTCCTGGCTTTTGTTTTTCTTATTTCCACTTTGGAATTTGCTATAATTTGCTTGCTTGTAGTCAAACGGTTCAAATTTCGATGATCCACTTTTATTTGGAGTCTTACTTGATTGGTTTCCACCTTTATTATTTTGACCCTTTTTCTGGCCCTTGAAGGGCTTATCATCAACTTTCATTAACTTTGGTTGAGGTTGTAGATCTCCTTCCTCAAATGACTTTCCTTTAAGCTGGGATGTTTTCCTCTTTGAACCTTTAGCCTGAGCAGAACAAATCCCTTGCATTTTAATTTGGGTAAAAAAAAAGCTATACGTATAACTTGGGACAAGAAAAATGGTTACCTGATATAGTGGCAAGTCCTCTGGTTTAGGTGAATTGGTATTTTCATTTGTCATCTTTCTTATATCTTCTTGCATCTAAGAAAAGAAAAAATTGTTCATATTAGATGTGCCACATGAAATTAAGAAAGGCCTATGGAAATGCAACTTGACAAACATAAATACCCTTGATATTCGTTCTTCAATGGAGAGATCAGTGCTAGTAGATTGAGCTTGCTGGGCAGCAGCCATCTTGCGTGATTCTTCTTCTTCTTGATGCTTCCGAAGCTTTTCTTGTTCTAAGTGATCTAGATATGGGCGTACTTTCTTGTAACACTCAAATGGACTCAAGAAACTCACTTTCTCGAGCAAATCTTTAGCCTTTGACTGGTTTTGTGATCCACCAGTGCCCTGAAATGTTAATGATAAACCAAATTTCAGAAATGTGACATGTGAAAAAAATTAAGATAGAAAACTATAAATGAAAGATAATGTTACGCACATCATTGGTTGAGGATGAAAATCCAAAGTCAATCTTGGGTCGTTCTTTAACTAGATGAGTTTGAGTCACATTAACAAAAGAGTTGTTAGAGTACAATGGGAGGGATGCTCTCATATTTAAACTTTGACTTAGGTTCTTATCCACATCACCATTTTTCACTGTAAAAAGAAATAAATGCCACATTACACACCAAAGTGAATTAGGAATTAGTTGATAAAGAAGAAAACATAAATTTCAACAAACATGGTTCAAGAAGCGTAGGCAAATCATCTCGGAAGTCAAGCTGGAATGACATATCATGGGGACAACACAATGGGCTCTCAAGGTTGAGTTTAGCCCAGGCTTCGGCCACAGGTCTTTGACGTAACTCCTCTTCAACAACAGGCTATAAAAGACACATGAAATGGCACCAGGATGTCAATTTATGGATGAATAATTCAAAAATTAGTGTTGGTAAATCAAAATTTTAGAACACAGCTTACCTTGACAAGTGGCTGTTCTCTTGCGCGTAAAATGATCTGGTGCATTTCAATGAGGTGTTGCCGAACTAGTGGTGGAATAGGATTGCAACATGATAGAATACCTTGAATTTCTCTCGGAAGCAACTCTGAGATATGAAGTAACATATGGTTCGGCAAAACATACCTACACAAAACAGATGAAATATCATGAGGAACATGTGACATGCTACGACACAATTTTAAAGATCAAAGAGAACTGCCTACCCGAGACTTTCATCTTCTTCCCGAGCAATTCTGTCTCTCCATTGATATAAGTGCTGAAGACCATACATTTGTTGATTAGTAAACATTTTTTTACTCTTACGGTAAAGCGTCATATGGGAGTCATCTGTCAAAATTAATTTGTTATAGCGACGCTTGCAAGTTTCTGTGCTTCGTTGATACACTGCTTGCAACAAATTTGTTTGTCCATTAGCTGCTTCCAATAAAGCATTTCTCATTCTTTCATAAATGTATATCAGGTAATGAGTATCCGATCTTGCATAGTGTTTCAACTCATCAGGTAGTGGCCTGCACAATGAAGGGCAGACAGTTAGAATAAGACAAAATTTGATCAAAGCATTAACATACATAAATTATAAGTCTAAAAGTTAGCTAGTTCTTACCTAATGCGCCAATCGGCCATCTGGAAGTGCTTATCAGCATTAACATTACAGTAATGTTTCAGTAGAAAAGATAAAGATAGGCCCGCAAAGTTCAAAACTTTGGCTGCTTGGTAGGTGTCAAACATATTCACTACATATAGGCACAAGTCTCTCTGAAGCCAGGGGATATCACTATCAGCTCCATGGAAAACCTGAAATTGCAAAGGAGGAACAGGTCATTACATAGCTGTATCTGAAAGAGTGCCCATAAGGAAATAAAATCTCCCTCACGCATACCTTCAGGATTTTCGGATTAGTAAAAGCTTCATTGAGAACATGAAGGTCTGATCGAAGAGAAATAGTATCAATTAAATAATCCTTTTCACCTGTAGATATTTGGAGTAGGCATGTAAACCCTTGAAAAGATCGATATGAATGATGCTGGAAACAAAATAAAATGAAGGATTAGTTTCCTGATATAAAGTTGAAATCCACCAGAACACAAGGTTACAGGAGAACTATGTACCTCTAGATCAACAGCAATTGTCTTGCATTTCAATAAGTCTTCCAGAAGGGGTGCTATCTGCTCTTGTCTTTCAACCATAATGAGAGGCACTTCATCCACAGCTTTAGGTTCAATGGGGTCCGACGCCTGTAACTGTTCCTCTGGTGGTGTAAAACGGTCCAATTCAAACTCGTACGGGTGACTGAAGCTGTACACAACAAACACATTAAAGTAACACATTTGTTCTATGAGAGAAAAGCAAAGAAAGGTGCATTTAATATTAGTTTTACCATTCCCCATCTTCAGTACATCCAAGAAGGATGGCTAATGGCTTGATGGCATTCGGTTTTTCCTTGATTCGGGGTTCCCAGGCTGAGTTGCTGTTGTCAATTTTATCACGGAACTTGGCTTGTGGTCTTTCAATATTCTTGGCAGTGAGCAAGCGAACTGACTGTGGTTCAAACTGAGCAGCTGAGTCAAGATTTGTTTTACTAGAAGCTCCCTTGTTCCAGCTCCCACTGACAGCTCTTGTTTTTCCAGTGGCTTCCACCAGTACAGGCTCTGGATTTTTCCTGATGCCCATAATTTCGTCAAGAGTATTTCCAACTCTTTCAAAAATACGGTCATTAGCATCAACAAGCAGCTCAAATTTTTCGTCATCATCCCTGCGAAGGACATTGCCCTGAACTCCTTGATGGCGTAAAATCAGGTTGATTCTAGATTGGAAAGGAAGGATACCGTCAAATAAAATTTTACACCAAAATCAAATCTAAAGAAAACATAAACTTACAGATGGAGGATTCTTTTCCCTTCAGCATTCATAACTTTCTTGAAGGACGGAAAGCTGGTATAGTAGTCCCACCTCTGGCCAATAGGCAATCCATTGGAGTCCCGAATGTTCTCCATCAACAGCCGCAACCCACTCTGAAAGATAAAGTCAAGCAAGAAATGCATCGCTTCCAGGGCAAAAGAGTGAACATGAAATAAAAACAAACAAATCTAGGCTGGCTTAACCTATGAAAAAAGTGTGGTCTCTTACAACAACACTACCAAATCTAACTTTTACCTGGGTAAACTCTTTGATGTTTTTAAATCCCGGGTAAATTTCGGAGTCTCCATTTTCTTCAGTGGCAGAACTGCCACCAGCAGTATTCTCCGACATTTTAAAAGCTGTAATTTGTCACAATAATTTCGGCACCCACGAGTGGCAACACAAGGGGGAGGGGAGGTGGGGGGGGGAGATATGCGTGGTATCTACACTGTGCCACTATTTGCACCACAGCGCCTTGCGTGTGCATAGTGTACGTCATCTGCAATTTTTCATACCGAGGTAAAAGCAGGGTACCCGCTCATCAATTAGCCTGCAATTCCTCGTGCAATAACAGCAGTGGCCACCGGCAGAGCCTGACAGTGGGATGGCATCGAAAGTCCAAAACCAGAAAAAAACGCCGAGCAAGCACTGCGATTGCCGGGCTTATTGTGGAAGCAGCGTGGAGGGCGAGCGCCCGCCGAGTCCAGGGTAGGCCGGCCCGCCGAGCACGAGTGCTTTGCGGGGCGGCCCAGCCTTCGCTTCGCAGGCGCCAGTCGACTGATTCCAAAGGGCCGCCTTCGTCGCTCTGTCTCTCTCGCACCTATAGGGGACGCCCCACGAGTGCGAGAGAGACAGAGCGAAGAAGGCGGCCCTCGGAATCAGTCGACAGACCGGCAGCAGAGCAGGGCAGCAGAGCGAGAGCACGGAGCGTGCAGCGCAGAGCCCGATGAGTGCGAGAGGGACGGAGTGACGGGTGCACTGTTCGTAATCGGCCACGCCGATGTCGGGTGCGTGTGCGTGCGAGTGTGCGTTTGCGCGTAGCGCCGCTGCGTCGTGCTGCGTGATGTGTAAGCGTAACAGATTTCTGACGCAAAACGCCTCTCGATCGCCGATGATGGTCGGCCATGGTCACAGTCACAGTGCCAACGCTTTGGCATTGGAATGGGGCTTTTGCTAATGTCCCGTTGGAGCATTAACTCTTTATCAATGCAAATTCAAAGCAAAGAGTGTATAATGTAAATATTTGTTTATTTTTGAAAACGGTTGCGCTGACCGCGGGGCGACGTAAAGTAGGAGTAGCCTATCAACGACGTTTCCAAGGCTGCCACCGAAACTTCCTGCTCCGCGCTCCGCGCCCTCGTCTCGTCGGAGAGCAAGGGGGAAGTCCGCAAGAGAACGGTGACCGGGACGGCAACGGAGCGCAGCCTAGCGAGCCTAGCGCAGCCTCCGCCACTCAGATAATGTCCCGATAATAACCGGTACTCCTTTCCGTTCAATACAGTAGAAAAATAATACGAAAAAATACACACAAAAAATAAAATTAAAAAGTTGTTGTGGGTTATTTTCTATTGAGGAACGGTTCGTAATGGAGCCACGTTGTGCAGTTGGTCATTACGCACCGAGGCGCGGTCGCGCTGGAGTCCCAACGTGCGACCCAAGCCCTATCTTGGCCGCGTGCCTACGACGGCGCGTGCCTCGGAATGCCTCAACATTTCTAAACGCTCTTCAAAGAAAAAACGTTGAAGGGAAAACGTACCATTTCCGAATAAAATCTAATTACGTGGAAATACAGTAGAATGTATTGGCAAATAAAAATGTGGTAGCTGCTGTCTTCGGGTGGCTCGGGCTCTGTGGCCGTGCCACTCGGGTAGCTCGGGTATCGAGAAGGAGGGGTGTCGCAGAGAAGACGACTTTCCATTTCAGTGCAAACTTTATTTGCATTCATCGGCTATAGTACAAAACAAATTGCTTATCACAGTGCCTCGTTTTGTAGAGAGTCTTTGAGCTTTGAAGCGCGCGACGCCGATGGGCGTGGCTGGGCGTGGCTGGGCGCGGCCACGCCGAGACCAGACAAGGTTAAGGGAAGCAATCAGCACTCTCTGCCTCTGCCAGTCGAGCACGCCCTCGCCTCGCGAGCTGCGCGTCGCTGTCACCGAACAACAACAACAGCAACAACAAGTCTTTATCACAATCTGCTCGGACTAGGGGTCGCCGGGCGTGCGGCGGGGAAGGGCTAGCGTCCTGGATGCAACCTTGGTTCTAGGACGTTAGGAAGGGCCACCCGCACGCAGCGCACCTAGGCCCTCCTGCAGGCCCGCCCGGCCCTCATGTCAGCCTGCTCGGCCCTCACGAAAGCCCCTCGGACTTGGCGAAAGCCCAGCAGGCCCCCAGGAAAGCCCGCCGGGCCCCCATGCTCGCCCATCAGGCCCTCCAACTGAGCCATTCTTCACCGACGCCGTCCTAATAGCAGTAGGGGTAGTTGGGGCAGGTGTGGGGGTTGACGCCGTCGGGGTACTGCCGGGACGCGAAGCCGGGCAGCGGGGGCGCGGCCACGGGGCCGGGGCCGCCGATGTGGCCGGAGCAGTAGGGGTAGTTGGGGCACTGCTGCGGCGACACGCCGGCCGGGTACTGCGCGGCGGCGGGGGCGGCGGCGGGCAGGTGGTTGGGCACGTAGCTGGGCACGCTGGGGTAGCTGGGCTGGTAGGCCGGCGGCGCGTAGATGGGCTGGTGCACGGGGGCGTTGGCGGCGCCCTGGCTGTGCAGCGCCAGCAGCGCGTTGTCGCAGTGCGGGTAGTTGGGGCACAAGTGCGGCGACACGCCGGCCGGGTACTGCGCGGCCTGGGACGCCACGACCGCCACCGCCGCGGCCAGGATTACCTGCAACAGAGTCATTTTCATCACCGGCGTGTGAGGCAAAGGCGGCCGAAGCCATCCGCCCGTTGCGCCGCGTTGCGCCGCGTTGCGCGCCAACCCGCAATGTCCGCGCCGCGTCTCCGTCTCCCCCTCTGAGTGCGTGCGCCTCGTGCGCCGCGCCCGCGAGGCGGCCTGCGCGCCAAGCCGTGACCGCCGGTACACTTTCAGGGCGGCCTTTGTCTAGCCGTACAGCCGGGGCGGGGCCGGCCGGGGCGCGGAGGGGAGGTCCTCCGTTCGGCGGGGAATTCAAACCGAAACCTCTGGAGGTCGCCGAGGCACGCAAACTTGACATTCATTGACATTTTGGGCCCCTAATATTGTAAACGTCAACTCACAAAAAAATTTCTGCATACACAGGAAATTTAAAACTGAATTTTGAACTAAAGTTATGCTGGTATGCGCAACTTTTTTCCAGCCGTAACAAAAATAAAACTCGAAAAATCGCAGAATGATGTCAAGTTTTCACGCCTTTGTAGTCACTGAAGTGCATGGTGGCCTTTGCACCCATCTGGTCGGGAGTCCGGAGGGAAGGCCCTCCTATCGGCGGCAAATTCAAACTGAAACCTCGGGCGGCCGCTGTACTGCATGGCGGCCTCTGCGTCCAGGCCGACCGACGGCCGCCGCCACGCCAACCACTCCGCGACGCCACACTGACGCACTGGTTGGCCACGCGAGTCGCACACGACACTGGAGGCACTTCTTGCAGTAAATCCAGAGCGGCCTGCGGCGTGGACTGCGTGGACTGGGGGCGGGCTGGATCTCGCACTGCTCGGGGTCCGCCGCGCTGCTGCCGCCGCGCACTCACCAGCTTGGAGATCATGCTGTTGTTGGTGGGACCGTTGTCCGGCTTGCTCAGAGGGCGGAGTGCTGCTGGGTCCAGCGCTGGGGGCCGCGCCGTATATATAGCCCGATCCTGTTTCTACAAAGCGCCGCACCGCCACACCACCACGCCGCGGAGCGCGGATCGGCCGGCGCCGCGCATTGTTGTCCCTCCCCTCGCCGCCGGCTTGCCTGGAGCGGCCTGGAGTCTCCCCTCCAGCCCGCCCCTCTCCTGGAACTCCCTGGACGCGGCTGGACGCGGCTCGCGCTGGTAAACGCGGCGCTTGCGATCAATGCCGTGATTAATAACGGGGGCTGACGGGCGGCGCGGCGTGGTGGCCGCCGAGTGTCACTCCAGTGACTCCAGAACCGCGGAAGTGTCGTCGCGGCGTGCGGCCCCGATGGGTGGGGCCGCGGGGCCGCACTGCTGTGACTCTGGAGACGAGGCGCTGTCGATTCATTTGGGGGCCGCCCAATTATGTTTCCAGGAAGGTGCCGAGCACTGTTGAAAATGCCGTACATTTCAAGGAAAAAGGGGCTTCCAGCGTCGGCAACGTGAAAAGGTTGCAGAAAAAGCAATGAAACGCGAAAACACAGACGGCTACTCCATCTCGCACCTGCATGGGTGCAACAGTCAGACCGACGAAAGCATTGTTCGAAAGCAGCCTGCTGAGGCTTGGCAGCATCCACATCCCATAGGGTCATGAGCCAGCAGTGTGGGAGAAGGCAACCCTCCCGACGGACTGCCAGTCGGTTTCGTCGCGCTGTCTCTCTCGCACTGACGGGCCGTCCCGAAGAGGCGCGAGAGAGACAAAGCGACGGAAACGACTCTCAGAATCAGCCTGCAGACAGACGTATGTGTTCCGACCACGGCCTGCCATCGGCGTGAGGGGCCTCATGGCAGTGGCGTGGCTTGCAGTGCGCTGACTGCACTGCATGCGACTGCATGGCGGGTCGCGCTCCTCAGAAGGGCTGCATTCCACATAATGAGAAAGGAAAAGTGGCGTGGCGCCGTCCGATAAGAGGCAGGCCTGCTCCGTGTGGCGCGCGCGGCGGGGCGGGGCGTGGCGGGGCGGGGCGGGGCGGGGCGGGGCGTAGCGGGGCGGGGCGGGGCGGGGCGGGGCGCGGCGAAGCGGGGCGGGGCGGGGCGGGGCGGGGCGGGGCGGGGCGGGGCGAAGCGGGGCGGGGCCAAGCGGGGCCAAGCGGGGCGGGGCGGGGCGGGGCGGGGTGCGGTGGGCGGGAAGGGCGCGCTGGCGGGGTGGGGCGTGGCGGGGCGCGGCGGGGCGTGGTGGGGCGTGGCGGGGCGGGGCGGCCTTAGTGATCCGATGCGACCTTGCAGTGCAGTCGCTGCTCTCACCAACGGCATGGCTTGGCGGCACCTTCCGAGAGGAGCGCCGCAAATCGCGTCGTGAACCTCAAAAGAAAAGTTATTTATTTCCCGATGGACGTTTGGATTGTTCATTATTTTATTTGCGGTCGCTGAGCCGTTAAAAAAATAGTTGGATATCAAACTGATAACGTCTTTGTCGGTAAAACTGCCAAAACAAAAAGACGGAGATCAGCTGAATTTCAGAGTTTTCCCTTTTCTATGGAAGCAAAAATAATATTTAAAAAATTTACGTCGAGACAGGAGACAAGAAAAACGCGCTAGTGTAATCCGTACTGTCATCTCGGCAGTCTTGATACGTAGCGGCAAATAAACTGGAAAGAAAATGAGTTTCGCATCCATCGATCCAATTTCGCATTGCTGCCCTTTTGCCGCTGCGGCTAGCTGTGGCTAATCCGGGGAATCTCTCTCACACTATAAAATAAAATGGCCGCAGCTGCCGTGCGCCCCGCCCGCCCCGCCCGCCCCGCCACCGCGTGCGTGGTGCGCGCCCGGCTACAGTCCGAGAGTCGTTTTCGTCGCTCTGTCTCTCTCGCATCTATACGGGACGCCCCATGAGTGCGAGAGAGACGGAGCGACGAAAACGACTCTCGGAATCAGTCTCCTGGCCCGGCCGGCGCGGAGTCCGTAGGGTCCGTCTGGGGGGTGTAATGAGGATCATTATGAGAAATTGCGCGGCTGGGCGCTGCCCTGGCGCTGCCCAGGCAGGCGTCAAAGCGACCACCGCCGCCACCGCAGCCACTGCACTGGTATTCGGAAAAGCGGTGATTAGCGTTTCACAACGACGTGTGGCACCCTGCGGCCCCCTGCGGCGCCCGGTGAAAGTGAAGACGTTGATTAGCATTGGCCGACGCAGTGCGGTGCCTGGAGTCACTTGCAGTGTGGTACCCGCACGGCCTGCGTGGCTCATCGGCGCCTATGACGCGCATTCATACTTGCAAATGGCGCCGATGGCGCTGGCGGTGTGCTGAACGCCCCATTCAGCCTATCGGTGCCAAGTAGATTAGGACTGGCGGGGCGCGGGAGAGAGAGAGAGAGGGAGAGAGAATGGTGGAGACAGAGAGAGCACCGAGCGTGTGAGCTCCGCCCGTGTGGACCGTTGTGACCCGCGATCCCGTGATCTAGTCTTCCCGCGCCTCGCCAGGGTGGCCACCCACCGCACTGCAATCTACTAGCTCTGCGGGCTGATTCCGAGCAGTGCCTCGTCACTCCGTCCCTCTCGCACGCTTACGGGACTCCCCGTGAGTGCGAGAGAGACAGAGCGACGGAGCACTGTTCGAACCTCGTTCGAACCCAGCCTGCTGCAACGCGGTGACAATCAGCCGGCGGCGGGGGAGGTTGGCACGGCCTTTCTCGGCCTTCGTGTCCGCTCTGTTCGTCAAGTCCCATTGCATGCCGCCCCGCCCCGCCCCGCCCCGACCCGCCCCGCCCCGCCCCACCCCGCCCCGCCCCGCCCGTCGCGGACAGCCCCGCGGTGGTGGTCCTGAAGTAGTTAGACGCCGACGCAGTCCGAGGGCCCGTCTGTGCGCAACCGGGGTATGGTCAGTCGAAGGCTGTAGAGCCGCAAGCCCCTCGTAAAAAAGTATGAAAAATAAATTATGAGAAAACTGGAAGCCACCGATGGGAAATGAAATCGAGGCAAAGAAAAAATTGGGTGAGTGAGGTCATTGGGCGTGCGCGGAGTGCGTCATTGTATTACAGTGCCGCAACGCTGCGTTGTTCGCAGAGCAGGTCCCAGTCGGGTCCCAGCCATCGTCGGCACGCCGGCCACGCCGCACTGACACACGCGTCGCCTTGCAAGAACTCCAAGAGGCCCAAGTCGATCGGACGAAAGCACACAATTATTGGCACGGCCGCTTGGTTGATACTTATTCCCGCGACGCAAAGTGATAAACGACCACCCATCCAATTTGCACGGCGGCCAATCGCGGCGACGGATGCTGCGGCGCTGCGGCACTGCAGCACGCTCTCGGCAGCAACAGCGTGGCCGACGCCGCGCCGACCCAGATTCGACTTGCCAGAAAACAGACAGGCGCTCGCTGCAGACTGATTCCGAGAGTCGCGCTTGTCGCTCTGTCTCTCTCGCACTCGCGGGGCATCCCGTAAGGGTGCGAGAGACACAGAGCGACGAAAAAGTTGCCGAGGCGACAACCCTTAGGACGCGCGGCGCCGACGTCGTGGACGCTGTGACGGCAGCATAGAGCGGACGGGACGACGCGCCTTGCTCTGTTGTTCTCCACGGCGAGGCTCCTGACATTGTCTCGGAGTGGGTCTTCCATTAGAGTCTGCATGCAGCCACGGATGTCGTTCTGCGTTCTGCGTGCCACGGGTCGGCATGAGGCATGGCCTTGGTCGAGGGATGAAACGGGATCGCCCTGTGTGAGCACCGCGCCGCACCGCGCCGCCGGGCGCACTTCTCGACTTCTCACGCGCCCGGCCCAGGGGTCCAGGGACTCGTCTGTGCCGCGATACACGCCGCCGCTCCTCCAGGCTCCTCCAGGCTACTCCAGGCTACTCCAGGCTCGCCTCCAGGCTGCTGCAGGCGCACACGCAGCCGCGCAGTCACGCACAGACGACATCTTTTTGGCGCGCCAGCCAGCCCAGTGGCAGCCAGCTGGCAGCCCGCCCCCCATCGGCGTGCCACCGCGCCACCGCGACGGTCCCATGAGGCGGCGCGGCGGCGCGCGCTCTGACAGAGCGGTCTCCTTGTGAATGAACTGGTCGCACGGCGGCGGCGGGGCGGGGCGGGGCGGGGCGGGGCGGGGCGGGGTGGGGCGGGGCGCCTCACCCAAGCGGGCCAACGCCAACGCCGCGCTCGTCCTCAGTGTTGTGACCATAGCGACGATGCTGCCCACCGCACTGCATCGCACACCTGCACAACACTTTACACTTACGGTTCACACACACACACACACACACACACACACACAGACACACACACACACACACACACACACACGCACACACACACACACACCTACACACACAGAGCTGCGGGCAAGGGCAAATGCCGCGCTGCAACTTGACTTACGGAGCACGATAACGACAATGCACTCCGAGAGTCCGGCCAGCAGGACGTCGGCGGCGGGATTAATCTCATAAAGGTAGAGGAGAAAACGCTTTTCGAGCCATTCGTCATTCTCCGATCCTTTCTCCTTTGCGTTCTCCTTCTCCTCCTTCTTCTCCTCCTCCTTCTCCTCCTCTCTCTCCTCACCGTCCTCCTCGTGCGGCTCGGATTGGAAACAAATAGACGCGTAGACAGGCGTGTCAAAGTGTCCGCCTTGTCGGCCGCATAAAGTGACATAATTAAAGAGCTCGATCCCCGCACTGATTCCGAGAGTCGTTTTCGTCGCTCTGTCTCTCTCGCACCTACACGGGACGCGCCATGAGTGCGAGAGAGACGGAGCGATCAGTCCCGCTGGCGCGAGTTCGCGCGAGTCCGCGCGTGCCGACCGTGGATGCTGCCGAAGGCATTGGCGGCGTGGCAGTGGCGTGGCAGTGGCGTGGCAGTCGGCCCGGAGCGCGGCCGCAAATCTCAGTAATGCGACGGCGGACTTGGACTTGACGGGCAAAGACGCGGCGTGCGCGGCCGGGCCGGGGATGGAGACTCAGGGTGGCTCTGGGTGTGGCGATGACGGTGGACTCCGAGGGAATGAC